ATATTTATATTAAAAATCCCATCTACAATTGTCTCTATCAGCAACAGACATCATTACATAATAAATAAAACTCATAACATTGTATCTTCGATCTTCTATAAGTGGAATTACTCATTATGAGATCCCACTCTTAAGGATGGGTTCAATACAAATGGTTGTATGAGTGAAAATCCAGAAACTTAATATTTTGTGAGAGGAAGAAGCTAAAGCTTTAAAAGATCATATATGTATATAGATGCTCATAGTGGCAGTGGTAGTGATTATTATTTTGTATTCTACTCTATATGACCTACCATATTTCGTATGATCTATATCATAGACTCAGTTTTAGAAATAAAAAATTAGTCTATGTACTAAAATTGAAATTATATTATTAAGCTAGATGCATATTATAATATTTATATTAAATTATTGATAATTTTAGTGATAATAATATAATACTGTATTAAAATTATACATTAGTGATAATATTATATTTTAATATTTAAAATTATTTATTAATTCACATATTTATATGTAACAAAAATTTTATTTATTAAATCTATTCTGTAGCAATGTTTGCACAACCATATTTGTCCATGTGACCAACTCTTCTTCTAAAGCAGTGATTTCTGGTACAAAGACAGTATCTGAGATGTTGTCTATCAACCTGAAGGTTTCCAAGTTCTCTGCTATTTTTCATGTTATTGTGTCAGTGAAAGAATTCCAGACTGGTGACTTCTATTACCCAGCATGCATGAAGGTTGTCAATGGAAGCCAATGTGGCAAGAAGGTTACTCAGGTTTTGGAAAGTATGTGGCAATGCAACTCTTGTGACACTGATTCTGGAGATATTCACTTCAAATATGCACTACACTTGTGTATTCTGGACAGCACTGGACATATATAGGCGGTTGCATTTGATGATGCTAATGAAATTGTAGATATGCCTGCATGTAAGCTGGCTGCGCTACAAGATGATGATTATACTGTTTTTTCAACCGTAATGGACTCTATTTGATCAAAGATGTACAATCTGAAGATTCGTTGCAAGCTCGAGAGCTACAGAGATACCAAAAAATTATAGTTGGTCTTGACACTTAAAAGAAAAAATGTGTGAGAAAACAAAAAGTATGTTTTATTTCTTTCTACTATTGTTTTATAATTTGTTGTGTGTGGTATCAAGTTTCTAAGTATAAGCCAAGCTGGAGCTTTCAAAACTAATGTTGTGTAGAAGTTGATGAATGATTAAAACAATTTGTAATAATGTAATTAGTTAAAAACTGTTTAAATTAACTAAGTATTGGTTGTAGCTAGCAACCATCCATTCACACAGCCATGAGACATCTTCTAATTCAGGATCAACTAAAAGGGTAGAGCCACCTGTGACTGAAATAGACTTGCCATTGTAATCTGAAATCCGGCTGCCCTTCAGGCATACAGTAGGCTTCTGCCCTCGTCCAAGTTTCTCCTCGATTTCTGAACCTTCATCTTCGGCCTTTGAATCCCACAGACACATGTCTATACTGTGGCCTGATTCATCACTCAAAGAAAGCATCCTCCTTCTCATGAATGCTCCAGAATCCTTAGGAGAAATGTTTGTCTATTCCACATTACACCACCAATCACGTCTATAAATGTCTCTTGGCCGAGCTTAGAAGCATCTAAAACACTCATTCTATTAAGAACAACATTTGGAATACGTAGATCGTCCTCTACACACTTGATCTCCATAGTCTTGCTTGCTTTTATCTCCCAATTTGATTTATATGGTGTATATGCTGGTTTAGAGTGTTGTATACCACTGTTCCCTGAAAATATATAGACACTGCCTTGCTCAATATCATGAAAGATGCTTTGCATTCATGCCAAACCCAACAATATGTATTTTGGAACTTTATGCATCGGCAACAGCAACTGACATAACACACCCAGCTGTGCCTGTTTCAAAGAATACAAGTTTCCCTTTGTGTCTCACCTTGGCATGAAAAGACCATCGGTAGCAGTGGCCCCTGATGTTCTTATATGGCATCTCAGCTTCTTAGAACTCTGTCCCTTAACATGAAACAGAGAAAAAAAATAAAAAATGTTATATACATACATACATAATGTAATTAGTTACAAACAATTTGTAACTAAATAACTAATTTGTAATGTATTTAGACAAAACTAACATTAGTAGTCGTAGTGCTTTACATTTGTGTTTATTTTTTTATAAAAGAAATATCAGAAGAAAAATCTGGGAGTGTCATATATATTTCAGTTCTTGGCTTTTCGTTTATATTGTTTCTTTATATTAACAAAGAAATATTCAAGCATGAGATTTCATAGGTGGTTATGTTAAAGGTTTTGAATATGAAAGTGTGGGAAAGCTTACTTGATTGTAAGAAGAAGTTCAGCCTTTTCTATATCATGATTTTTAAATACATATTCTGTAATTACATTAACCTTGAAGGATATGCACTCTAGTGTTCATTGGATCACCAATGAAAGGCACATTGATATTGTAAACATCTATCACTTTGGCTTCAGTTCTGTCATCTTGGACCATTACACAACTTTGCAATCTCTAGAGACAGACCAGATATTCTTCTGGCTGCTTGCTGAGCAGAACATTAAGTTGTAGTTATCTGCGCAAGTAGAGTATGTCATAATCCATGAGTTTTTTTCACGAACGTGCCTCAACAATCCACACACAGCAGGCCTGTATATTTGATTGGAGTATATGAAGCAGTGTGATCCATGCAATGCAATTATACACATCTCTTTCCAGGTATGTAATACATTAGTGGGAGAATTAGGAATGTTTGTAAACAGCTGATTTACAAACCTTCTGATGTTGAAAGGTTAGGAATATATTCAATGGAATCGTTGCCCCCATCAATGAAAGTTCCCATGTAAGTCAATGCTTGAAGTGCCTAAAAAAAGATAAACAAATCACAAACTTTAATGAGCATATCACCTCAAGTGCTGGGTTCTTTCAAATGTTCCCCTGCAAAGATCCAGTCCATTGTTCTAGACTCTAACAATTTCTGCATAAAAGCTTCAGATGCTTCAACATCAGAAATCAAAGAGTAAAGGCACAGATGTAAAGGCAAAGGTTTATTTTTTTTAAGGAATGTCAAAGTTCCTTTGTTCCATATAGTTGATCAACAAAATGCGAAGGTATAGCTACTTGGAACGTGTCTTGTCCAAGGTGAAGCTGGCCCTTTAGCGTGATGTGTTCCTTTATAGGTCCTGCATATTTACATATTTTACATATTGCTTCATCTTTAGAAGTTTGTTGCAATCTTGATCCGCAGCATAATGAACAAACTGTGTGTATAAAAACTGGACAGAGCTTATCTACTTCAAAGTATCCAGGTATCTGCAAAACAACGTGTATTTAATATGGGCTTGTTTCATTTCCTTTCGCACTTACCCCTGTGCATTCCCTTGCAATATTCCGAAAAAGTCCCAGCTACGCTGGGAGCATAGTGCATTGTATACATTGTACATTGTATACATAGAATATTGCATTCCCTTGCAATATTCCGAAAAACAGAGTCAAGGAATTATTTTGGCATCATCTATTATACATGAAACAATGCTCATGCCTGTGACATTTGCTCTCTTGAAATAACCGTCTCCTTGTAAATTAATGAAACATCTTGTTGGTGGAGTTCCAGAAAAACATTCATTCATCAACTCTTTGAATAATTCCATTATGTTGCCATGGAATTTGAGCTGCCATCATATAGATTATTGTCAGGGATCCACATGCTATATTGAACTTACTATATCATATCAGACTCGTTGATGTTATCTGTTATTGTGAGTTGACCACTGTTGTAGCCTATATCATTGATACTCACTACAACACCTTCAACAGAACCTACAGATTCTCGGCCTCTACATGACTCCACAAAGTTTGCAATGCTGATAGTTGGTACAGACAGACGAAATTGTGGCACTATAAGCTATTAACTAAAAGCTTACGTTTTCTTCCTAGCATAATAGATGCTCATCATTGTGGTGGGTCAATAAAAAGAGGAGATGCACTGGGCCTGGGTTGGAACTCAAGTCATCATGTTGTTTCGCATTTCTCTAGCATGACTCCACATTCAAATATATATAGCCACAGATACCACCTACTCAAAAATAAACTGGAGATAACCATAAAGGAAGTGCATAGAAAGAAAAATAGGCAGCTAGCCTCTTCCCACTCTTTCATGCACTGTGGTCCATGCACTGTGTGCGAGTGGAATCCCGAATGGGACAGCCTTTTGCCCGATGAGCAGGCCAGGCTCAAGGCTCGGCAGGGCGTGAAATACGTTTGCCTCGATGGCTTACAGGTGCTCAACTCCGAGCTAGCAAGCAAAAAAATTTAGCAGAAGCAGCGAGCGAGTAAGGAGTGACGAAGAACCAAACAAATAAGACAAATACATTATCAGAGATGAAACTCTAGAACCGGTTGCCAAGGACGGTGTCACCATTGGCGAAGTTTGCATACGTGGGAACATGGTGTTCAAGGGATACTTGAACAATCCAGACTCTGGGGACTTGGCAGTTTGGCATCCCAATGGATACATCAAGATCAAGGATCGAGCCAAGGATATTATCATTTCTGGAGGGGAGAACATTAGCAGCCTGGAAGTGGAGAGCATCTTGTACAGGTAAAAGGAGAGTTTTTCCTTCTTTGTTTCTTGTTAAAGTTTGCTTCTTTTTCATCCAGGCATCCAGCAGTGTTGGAAGCTGCTGTGGTGGCGCAGCCAGATGAGCAGTGGTCCATGTGCGTTTGTGTCCCTCAAGCACGGCGTGAGAAGCAACAAGGAGGAGATACTCTTGTTGTATCGACAGCATTTATGGAAGTTCATGGTGCTAAAGAGCATCGTCTTTCTCACAGCCTTGGACAAAACTGCGACTGGCAAGATCCAAAACCAGGTGCTGTGCAGCAAAGCAAGAGCTCTTGGCAGTGTCAAGTAAATCAGCAAGCTCTACAAGCCAACTATTGACGTTGTAAAGCTTGAACTACAAGCCAACTATTGAACTTGTAAAGCTTGAAATCGTTCATGGCCTGGAAAATCCCCAATCTAGCCTGGCAATTTTAAATCGGTCAGCTACTGTCCGTCCGTTGTAATGTACTGGAATGAAAAATAAATAAGTAACATGCAAGAACCAAGAACGCAATTCATCTACCTCAAACAGTAGCTTTGTCTTATCAGCTGTCACTCTTGCATATCCAAATGCCGACCTTCGAATCAAGCTCCATGAACTAAACTGTCGACAAAAAAAATAGAAAAGGTAGAATATCAATACCATATAAAGAGCTTGAATATAGGAAACAAAGCTGCAAGCTTACATTATGAGGGAAGTCATCCAAGGTGAATTCAGCCATGCCAACCACGGTGTGAACTGGAGCTGAGTAAATTGTAGTGTCAAAGAAATCGACGCCTGCTAAATCCTTGATCGGGTGCTGCAGGCAGCGCCCTGAAACACAGCACAAGTTCGCAGGTAATTGTGAACATGCCCCCACACTGCTAAATCAACCTGTGCAAAAAAAAAAAGAAAAAAGAAAAAAGACAGTTTCATTCTAGTTTTCCCTTTGAAGAGCTCGTGTTTTACCTTGTTTCTCAAGAGCAATGGTTCCACAGCTGCTACAAATTTCGGATCCACACCTGGTAAAGTTTAGAAATAAATCCCCCGCAATTGAGTGGAGTACATAGGTCGATGACTGAAAGAAAAATAGCACACATGAGTTTACAGAATGAAAATGTGAATAAAAACAGTTACCCTGTGAAAACTATCCATGGTGTACTGAATCTGCCAACAGATTCAAGGTCAGATTTCATCCAAGCGTACTGTAGAAGAAGGTTTCGTTGAAGGAAAGATGAAAAGAATAAGAATGCATACTTGTTTGCTGGTCGAGCTCCAGTCATGTTCTGTAGAGATGACTGTGAAATGCATGGGGCCAATAGCCATGGAGCCGTGGAGCTGTGGCTGTCCCGAGGAGAAGTACAGGGACGAAAATTTCTTTTTTGTCTCTTGGTTACAGCCTCGAGCACCTGGCACAAACAGGAACTTTAAGCCTCGAAAGAGAATAGCAAAAAGCAAGAGAGTGAAAAACCTTGATTCTAGTCATGGTTCCAGCCTCAAGAACCTGGAACAAATAGGGGCTTGAGAGTCTCGAAAAAAGACTGTCATTTTTCCGGCGCATGGCCATTGACAACGGTTTCCTGAGCTTTTCAATCGGTAGCAGCTTCAGATCTTCACGTACAGCTGACTGTAGCTCTGAGGTGCTCTGCAATGAAGACCGCATCAAACACACACACACACAGAGACAGAGAGAGAGAGAGAGAGAGAGTACCTTCCCACAAGCGATGATCGATGCTCTCTCCTCGTTCTCACGAGGAGAGGAGAATTGTCTTTTAGGACCCTAAAAGACAATTAAAAGTTTTTATGATCCCAAAGTCACGACTCCCCATTGTTTAATCTCAGCCGTTAGATTTTGGCATATGCCCAGAATAAGTGACGCCAGCATATACTATTATTATACCGGCTCTTTCGTTTAAATATATGAGTATGATGATGTTTACCTTTTATGTTGTTGGAGTTATAAAAGTTACACAAAACGTTACCTTTTAAGAGAGGCGTTAACTTACCAGAATATTCACACAAAATCTTGCATTGGGGGTTTAGGGTTTAAGGAATTTAGGGCAGGAGAAAGGGGGCGATGGAAGGAATCTTTCGCTCTAGCAGCAGCGATCGCGCGTCACTGGCCAAGACGAAGATCGTGTGCACGCTAGGCCCCAAGTCTCGCGAGATCCCCATTCTCGAGAATCTCCTGCGCGGCGGCATGAATGTGGCGCGCTTCAATTTCTCGCACGGATCTCAAGACTACCACCGCGAAACGGTCAGCAATCTCCGCGCGGCGATGGCCAGCACGAAGATCCTGTGCGCCGTGATGCTCGACACGAAGGTGAGCGATGGATCTCGCAAATCTTTTTCCTTGAGTCGTTCCTCCAGGGGCCAGAGATTCGCACTGGAATGCTCAAGGATGGAGCTCCAATCCAGCTGAAAGAGGGGAATGTCATCACGATCACCACGGACTACAGCATCCAGGGCGACGAGACGACGATCGCGATGAGCTACAAGCGGCTCGCGGAGGATCTAGCTCCAGGGAACGTGATCCTCTGCGCCGACGGCACGATCACGCTCACGGTGGTCTCCTGCGATCCAAGCGCCGGGACGATCGTGTGCCGCTGCGAGAACACGGCTGTTCTTGGCGAGAGGAAGAACGTCAATCTCCCAGGCGTCGTCGTGGATCTTCCAACCGTGACCGAGAAGGACGTGAAGGACATCCTGGAGTGGGGCATTCCCAATAGCATCGATTTCATCGCTCTTTCCTTCGTCCGCAAGGCCAAGGATCTGATCAACGTGAGGAAGCTCTTGAGCGATCATCACCCCACCGCGGCAAGAACAATCCAGATCATCTCCAAGGTGGGCTTTTTCTTTCGTTTCTCTTGATGGATCATAGTTGTTCTTACGTGATCTATTGGAAGTTTAGATCGAGAACCAGGAAGGACTGGTGAACTTCGACGAGATCCTCCGTGAGTCGGACGCGATCATGGTGGCCAGGGGCGATCTCGGCATGGAGATCCCAACGGAGAAGATCTTCCTGGCGCAGAAGATGATGATCTACAAGTGCAACGCCGCTGGAAAGCCCGTGATCACCGCGACGCAGATGCTAGAATCCATGATCAAGTGCCCGAGACCCACGAGAGCCGAGGCCACGGACGTCGCCAACGCAGTCCTCGACGGCACCGACGCGGTGATGCTCAGCGGTGAGACCGCCGCGGGGCTCTATCCGGAGCTCGCGGTAGCAACCATGGCCAAGATCTGCGTCGAGGCCGAGAACTCGCTCGACTACCCGGCCATCTTCAAGGCGATCATGGATCAATCGCTACTGCCGCTCAGCCCGCTCGAGAGCCTGGCTTCCACGGCGGTCCAGACGGCCAAGGAGGTGAAAGCTTCGCTCATCGTGGTGCTGACGCGGGGTGGTACCACGGCGAAGCTGGTGGCGAAGTATCGACCAATGGTACCGGTTCTATCGATCGCGGTGCCGGTGGTGAGGACGGATAGCCTGACGTGGTGGTGGAGTAGCGAGTCTCCGGCGCGGCATAGCTTGGTGGTGAGGGGATTGGTGCCATTGCTAGCGCAAGGAGAGTGGAAGGCGACGGAGGCGGAGTCTTGCGAGGAGATTTTTGGGGCGGCGGTGAAGTATGCTGTGGAGAGGAAGATGTGCCGAGCTGGGGAATCGATTATAGCGCTCCAGAGGATTGGGGATGCTGCGGTGATCAAGATCATTGCAGTGTGATTGATGGAAGAGAACTATTGAGTCAAGGATATATTGTTCTTTAATCTCTAGCGGTTTAGGGTTTAAGAGCTCAGCTAGAGTTTGTGTATTGTGACCGGGGAGAGAGTAAGTCCTTCATCTTCTTGTTGAGATCTATCTTCGAGTCTTATGTGATGCAAACCGTTCCAACCTAGACCGCCAAGAAAGTAAGTCCCTTCCTTCATCTTCATGCTGGTTTTTATAAACAAGTCTATGCTTTGCAGAACTGGCACACAAGATGCCTGGCTATGCAATTGTGGCATCTAAAAAATGAAAGTATATTATATAATAATCCATACAAAACACCATACATTAAACCACAGGTTATTGTAAGATGCACTCATATGCAATCATATATTCCTTGCCAAATGCATGACCTATCCACCAAAGAATGAGTTGCCTTAATGGCAAACCAAAATAGATGGTTTTGAAAAATAAAGCAGAAATTCTTTTGGACAGACATAATTGATATATTTAGAAATTAATTTTTTGATATTGTTGCAACCCTTTAAACCTGACATATTGAAGCTTTTGTAAGTATTGATATTAAAGGGTTAAGCAACGTTTATTGTAATAAGTTAGATTTACATAAAGAGAATTTAGGGCATTCAATGGAAACGCTGGACTCCAAGATGAGGGTCATGCTTCGCAGTATGAAGAATGTTCCAGTCACAGCCCCAAGGAACTTGAGGATTGGGCATCCCGAGGTGAGCCCACTGGGGGACTTCATGTACCCAATTGAGTATCCAGAACCGGCCACGGCCCAATTTCGTTGCGGCTTGTATGCGCTTGTGAGATCCGAGTTTTACCATCGCTACGATCATGGCAAACGCATGATGCGCCATTTGTACACCATCACAAGAGAAGGCGGCGACGTAGAGAAGTACCAAGTTGTGCTGGCCGAAGACTCGCTTGGAGAGACAATCAAGGGGTTCTCGAGAATGGATTGGGAGGATTGTGCGATCCCTGAGAATGGGGAGCTTAGGCAAGGGGAGAGGCGGTGTTCGCCGAGGAGGGAGATGACGAGTTATGAAGTTCCGTCCAAGGCGGTTGAAAGACTAGACTTGATGATGAGCCAAGATAGAATCTTCCCATCATGTAGAAACTTTGTGAAATGAAGACAAGCTCTTCTCAATCTTTAATGAGAAGATTTCGCAGCGTCAAAATGGCCACTCTCACATCAAAAGTATCAAGATCTAGGCAGACCTTTTCTTTGGAGGACGTTCTCGCGACTTCCCTCATCCGAGGTAAGAGTGGCTGCTATAATGTCCACAGCCAAGCTGTAGAACGGAGGTGCCAGATGCATGCAGTGGAGTCGTTCCTTGAAAGAGCTCGCAGCTGTTGGTATCGCGTGAGGATGTCTTTGCTACCAAGAGAGAGAGAAACAAATCATTGATCGATGGAAGCAGCAGCTATATTACCTGGATACAAAGCCACGAAAACAAGTTTTTGAAGGACATCCTGCCGTGAGATGTCCACTAAAGAGTAAGAACTACTCTCGCAAAATCTGGAACGCAGTGAGCTCTGGATACGCACAGAACGACGAAAGTGTAGTTGTTTGAGGCTCTCTTGTGAGAAGGTGGCGATGGTGGTTTTTTATTGAATTGGATTTGATTTCTCGTTTCGTTCTGGCAGAATGGTGTCTCTTATGTGACACTTGACAACATCACGAAGGAAGAAACGGTGGAGTGTGTGGTAGCGTTGCCCTCTAGTAAGCTCAAGGCCATAGCTTTTGAAGGAATGACTGAACCATAATTCTTTGAATTATGGTTCCATGCTATCATGTCAGTGGATCCGATTAAGCGTGCTGCATTGTTCGACGATCTCCCGAAGATATTTACCGGCCTTTTTTGAGGTTTGGTTCGAGAGTTTCCCCCTTTTCCCCCAGTTTGCTCCCCAAGAAAAATTGGTTCCTGCAAGATTCTGACCGTCTTGATCAGGTAGCTCGTTTTCAGATAACAACGTCGCGATCGGTCGAAAACTCTGCGAGAATCAGCCATGCTCCAACACTTACCATACATGTCGACCAAGCAGCTTGCCACGTACAAGTCTTCCAGATCAAAGCCTCGCTCTGATACCAACGAGTGCACCGCCATTCCGGCTTCCCGCGAACGCAGCGTCACGATCTTCCCATCGACTTGCCTTCCCTGTTCTTGAGTTGACGCCTTAAGCGCAGCCACCAAAGACTGGGAGTGTAGCAAATCTCCAAAGAGTTGAAGGCCATCTTTCCCTCATCGTTCTCAGTTGAGAAGAGCGTTGACTACGAATATGTTTGAGTCACATCCCAGTCTGTCGGCCGTGCCGTGGATCGCGTAACTAGAAACCTGAGCTTCTCCTGTGGATTCCGAGCTTCTTTCTTGGCTCCGAGGCCTGGAGAGCAGCGACAACACTCCAGCTATCGAGCTGACAACCTCGGGACGACACCATATTCATAAACATCTCTAGAGCTAGCTCCTCGTTCTCACCATCCTGTGCGTAGCCGAGCATCAAAACGTTCCACGAGACCACATCCCGACTTTTCATCCTGTCGAAAACCTCTTGAGCACGCACCATGCTCCGGCACTTCACGTACATGTCGATGAGAGCATTCCGCACGTAGCCTCGGCTTGACGATGGTCTTCTTCGGCAGCTGCCAGAGGCGAGCGCAGCGGCAAAAGTTCGTGCGTTTGCTGCGCAGCACTGTTGTATCGATCGAAAGAGCTACAAGGCCATCTCGGCCTCGCCATTCTCCGCATAGCCACTTCGTCGGGGCGAGGAATCCTGTCGAAGGCCTACTGTGCTTCCACCACGCTGTCACACTTCATGTACATCGCCACCAAGTCCGACTCTCGCGTTCGCGTGATCTTTCGACGTCTCTAGCTCTGGAGCACGACTTTAGCCCCGCGAGACAAGCGCTTCTCTCGAGCTGATAAGCACGCCGGTCTTGGTGCTGATCTTTTTTTTGTTTTTGTGATCACTGGATTTGTGTGCTCGCTCGCCAGGGTTTTCCTCCGACTTTGCGTACCAAGTCACTTACATTGTCAAGCGGTCGTATCCAAGTCGTGAACAAAAATGGCATAGGAGTAATCGATCATATGCTGGAACCGATAACAATGTCGTAATCCCACGCAAGGCTGTGCAACGTAGGAGTGTTTTTCGAGTCGAGGCAGACTCGCAGCTGCTTGTCACTCGGCTGCCTGTTTATCGTCCCGCGATTTCACGTTGTCTCAAATCGAGCCGGAGAGAATGGAATGGAATGGTTCTCGATCATCACCACCGAGAAGTAAGCTTTCTACCTTTTTTGGCCTGGAGGTCTGACCGATCCAACTTTTTTGCTGGAAAAACGAGCCAGTGTTCTCTCATCTCGCCGGAAGAACTACCATATCGGCTGTGAAAACTTTATAAAAAAATTTGGCTCTACCCAAAGCGTTCGAAAATTTGCCTTCGTTGATTCGGGACATCTTGAAAAGCCGTCCACGCTTCTTTGAGCGCCATCTCCTCAGCTTCCTCTTTCCAATTGATTGGTCTAGAGTTTGGCACGGATCCTCGATGCTAGAAATCAGGACCTGGAACCAAATCACCTGTCCTTAGAATAAAAAAGTTCATGTACCCTTGCATTGACTGGGTTGACTTTCATTGACTGGGTCTTCGTTTGTAAGCTATTTGGGTGGGAAGAAGAGCGTCGTGTGTCCTGCGAGACCGCATCTCAACTCCATCTTCCACGTTAAAAGCCGCGCAAATCGTTTTGGGCGACAAGCTCTTGATCACTCCATGAAAATCCTCGCTGGAAACAATGGAAACTCTGCCTCCGCACGGCAAACTCTCCATTGCATTATTGCGTGAATATTCGAAGAATAAACATAAATGGAGAATATGCTGGCGGTTTAGGGCTCATCTTTTCTCTTCTTTTCTCGCAGGTAGCTCGTTCGGAGATTTTGCGAGAGAAGTTGTCCACGAACACAGGCGGTGGAGATCTAATGGGGGATTGTCTCGTGGCTTGTATTCAGGTAATATAGCTATTGTTTCCATCGATCGACCGAATGATTTGTTTTTTCTATCCCTCGGCAAACAGCCGTGAGCTCATTTGGCTGAGACCACAGGCCGTGAAACTCCTGACTACCTTGATAGACATCGACTCAGCTGGTTTTCAACAGCGGTGGTCTTGTTTTTCGTGTTTTTCTTTCGGAACTCTGTGCATGTGGCTCCTCTCGTTCTACGGCTTGGCTCTCGATTTGCACGGGACATGGTCGAGCACGGGATGAGCGTGGACTGACGAGGTAAGAGCCTTGCTTTTTCAAGCTCGTATGTAAATCCGTGTTGGGTGGTCAGAAAATCTGACATGGCTATGGGATTTACTTTGGGATTTGATCTGAAATGATTTTAGCTTTTATTTAGCGTTACATTCATGGAGGCACCAAAGATGGTGCAAACAGAAAAACATACCTCAGAAGTAAAGGATTCTGAAGTGGAATGCTACTCCAGACCATACTCTCACAATCCACAAAAAACAGCTTATACTTATCCGGAATCATTAAGGTGCCTTCGTAAAAACAGATTGGAAGAAGAGGAATGTGGCCCTCGTTGTAAGGAAAGCTTGTCTCCTCAACAAATCTCTTTGATGCACAGTCCAACCTTATCAGCATCATCTTCAGAACCCCAAAATCGTTTACCAAAGCCACCTTGAAAAACTGTGTTGCTGGTGTTACCACCCAATTGTACACATTCCAGCAAGCTTCAACAGGGGAATGGCCCATGAAAGATGACCACTCAACAGTCCATCTCATTTCTTCCATGTTGAAGCTCAAAGCCCCCCACATACGTTCACGTTCGCATGGAAAATAAGCGTTGCTGTTGGCCATCCCAACTCCATTTTCGAGACGATTCCAGCCAGGAAGGTAATCCACCTTGTCCCACACTCCTGATCTCGAGCTATATACCAGCAATTGCTTTTTTTTGTTATCCGCTACACAAATCCAGTAACCATGCATACACGGTTCCAAAACCAGGGCAGAACGATATACAATTACTACTTTCAGGGGCGGCGGCGGGAGCACCTTGAGAGCTGTGGTGAGCGGATTGAGAACAACATAGTCATTGCCCATCGATCCAAACAGCAATCCACCACAGGCCTTGAAAACCCTGATGTGATTGTAAACATCCTGACGGACCCAACCCTTCTGTGTTTGAGATCCAGCAACAAACGGGTTGCACCGATACACTCCCCTACCAAAAGAAGTTACTCCCAAGACATGAGGAGGGGGGTAAATCTGCTTGTTTCTAGAGTGGTGCGCTGAATGAGACTTTCCAAATCTTGGTGAGTCTACGAGATCCCTCCACTGCTTGCACACGACTCTGATGCGGCGGTGCAAAACAACTGCTGGCAATAGCTTCAACACCTCCTCCTCAACTATGTGCACCAGCTCGTCCATAGTCCATACCTGCCCTATTACGGAAACGGGCTCTTTTAATCCCCGTTTACTTCAAAGGATAATGATCGTCAAAGTACCCAAGAGACGAGGAAGAAGATGGGGATCCAGGAGGACGAAAGTTTGAGGTGGAAGGAACAGCTCCTTGGTCTTCACAAGAATCTGCTCGACATATGGATCGAATTCTCCGCAAAAGTGGTGTTGTTGCAATTGTTTGTTTCACCGAGGGTCGTCCACACTTATTCATACCCTTGTCTTTGCCGGGTGTTGTAGTTAAGTACTGTTCGAGCGTCAACACTGTCTGGAGGAATGGCCTTCGAGGAACGCACAACAAAGCTGGTCGTTTCAGATCTTTCCCAGTCTCAAAACCTAGCAAAACACGACTTTTACAGTGGACCACATAAGTGAGGCCGGAGACGATGTTGTGACTGACAACGAAGGTAAAACTCCTTGAGAGTGAAGGCATGGCTCTTAGACGCGAATGACAGCGCTCAAACTTCTCAATCGCTTCACTCACTCACGTTCACTCGCTCTGGTGGGGATCAAAAACAGTTCCCCCATGGCCGTCGTTGCTCGCCTAGGAGTGGTGTCAAACCGGTTGTTGCCGCGGCACTTTCCAATGGCCGCATGCTTGGGCCTGCTCTGTGGCGTCCGCAGAGACGACTTCTTGACTGATTTGGAGCCACCATTGTCGCGCTGCTGGGCCGTATGGCCGTTGCGGGTGGCTGTTTGCGCACCGGATTCCAACTTGAGCTTCCTGTTGTGGAAGTGACCTTTGCAAACGCGAGTGCTCCTGATTTTGCGTTTGGACCAGGTCAGATCAACTTAAGAATAAGATCAGGCAACCAGGAGCAGTTTAGCATTCACCTGCTCTATGGACGGTAGCTGGAGGTCACAGTGTTTATACAGCGTTTCCCATGTCTGGAAATCATCGCATACTGACGGGACATCTTGCTGGGGAGTTCATCTTCCGGGATAGCAAGCTGCAGGCTTACGACCTGCGCACTGAGGCAATGGCAATCCCAGGTGCCAAAGCTTGGAACGACTTCCCGCTGCCTCAAGAACTCAAACTCGTGGGCTACATTTATCGCAGGCTTGATCCTTGCATTACGGGCCCAAGGTGATCGTGGTTGGCCAGTGCGAACTCATAATAGGTCATCATTTCAAGGGAGGCATCGTATTGCTGGAGCTGGATGAACAAGAAGAATGCGGGCGTCACTGGAAGGTGGTTACGTGGGCAAAGGCGGAGCATTTTGCAGATAATGACACGCCACATTCACGATTCATTACCCATTTTCCTCTTCAAGGTGGCGATCTGGTGGTGCTGAACGAAAAAAAGCAGGTTGGATTCTGGACCAGGCTGTAGCTTTCCATCTCAAGCATCATAATTGGTTGGAACTTCCTACAAGAGCGTGCGGTGGCCTCATCGGTCTCCTGACAGCCTGCAATGGAGGAGGAGGATAAATTTTGCGTCTACAGCTCGTAATCTTCGTCAAATAATAGGACAAACAAATAACAAAAACAGCGCAACAATGGAGGGAGGAGGCAGGATCTCAAGAGATGTACCGTGAATTACTGTGTATGCACTCGAAAACAAGAAATAGATACGATCCTCAAGAAGGAAAAGCTAGAAAATAAAAGTGCTTCAGCCTTCAAAAGCATGTTCCTCAGCAATCGTCTCTGCTTTGGCCTCGTCTATTTGCTGGAAGTAAGTCAAATCCTACAGTTTAGAAATTTCACTTGACACATACGTCGTCGTGATAAAAAGCGTACTTTGATCCTCGAATTTATCCCAGTCATTGCGTGTTCCTGATGCCAAACGAAATACTAATGCTCACTGTTTCTGCATAAGATAAGTACCAAATGGACACTCCATTGCAGAACGCAAGCCAGGCTTTTACTCAGTAACCTGATGTTCCGCAACCCAATCTTTCCTATGACATTCTTCTTTGCCGATGACAAAGAAACTGCGGTTTAGCTCAAAAGAAAACAAACTAAAAGTGTAACCTGGATATTATCCACCAGCCTTATCATATATAACAATGTCGTAATCACACGCAAGGCTGTGTGACGTAAGAGTGTTTTTCGAGTCGAGGCAGCCGCCTGTCACTCGGCTGCCTGTTTATCGTCTGCGTCTGCGATTCCACGTTGCCTGAGTTCTAATGGGATGGAATGGTTCTCGATCATCACCACCGAGAAGTAAGCTTTCTACCTTTTTTTGCGTGGAGGTCTGATCGATGCTGGAAAAACAGGTCAGTGTTCTTTCATCTCGCTGGAAGAACTGGAGTGATCAAGAGTTTGTCGCCCAAAACGATTTGTGCGTGGAAGAGGGAGTGCTGCGGTCTATCGTCTTCCCAAAATAGCTTACAAACGAAGAGCCAATGAAAGTCAATGAAGAGTCAACTCAGTCAATGCAAGGGCATATTCAAAGATGTAATTGAGAACTTTTTTATGGGTGCCGCTCGTCCCATCGCCCGCGCGAGGCTGCAAGAATGAGATTCTCGGCAATGTAGGACAGGAGATTTGTTCCAGGTCCTCTCTAGCTCTGGAGCACGACTTTAACGCCGCAAGGCCAGCGCATATCTCGAGCTGATGAGCGTTGCCGCTAGTACCTCGTATCGGCTGTGAGAACTTTAGGATCCAGCGAAGTCCTGGACAGCATAGTAAGGATGGCTCTACCTTCCAGCATCAAAGCGTTCGAAAATTTGCCTTCGTTGATTCGGGACATCTTGAAAAGAATGTTTGCTCTCGCCATCTCCTCAGCTTCCTCTTTCCGATTGATTGGTCTAGACTCTAGAGTTTGACACGGATCCTCGATGCTAGAAATCACGTCGAAAGAGGCCGGCAAATCCACGCGAACGCGAGAGAAAGTGGTGTGGATTCGGACTCTCACGTAGCCAGCAGCTTGGTGGCGATGTACATGAAGTGTGGGAGCGTGGTGGAAGCACAGCAGGCCTTTGACAGGATTCCTATGCTGGAACGCTTTGATCTGCACGATCAAATGCAGAAGAACGAAAAAGAGAAATCAAATCCAATTCACTCCAAAAAATAGTGCAAATCTGATGCTCTCAAGGTATGAGGAGAGAGGAACAGACTGCTTGAGAAGAGCTTGTATTCATTTCGCAAACTTTCTACATGGTGGAAAGATTCTATCTTCGTCCCCGCCCATCATCGATGCTAGTCTTTCAACCGCCCTGGGGAGAACGTCATGGCGCCCCATCTCACTCCTCGGCCAGCACCGCCTCTCGCCATCCCTAAGCTTCCCATTCTCAGGGATCGCACACTCCTCCCAGTCCCTTCTCGAAAACCCCTTGATTGCGATCCCTCGCGAGTCCTCGGCCAGCCCAACCTGGTACTTCTCAACCTTGCCCCCTTCTCTGGTGATGGTGTACAAATGGCGCATCATCCGCCTGCCCTGATCGTTCTCAGGGTAGAACTCGGACCTCACAAGCTCGTACACGCCGTGGCCGGGCAATTCGGCCGTGGGCGGCTCTGGATACTCGATCGGGTACATGAAATCCCCCATTGGACTCACCTGGAGATCCCCAATCGTGAATTTCTCCGGGGCTCTGACGGGAACATGCTTCATAGTCCGAAGCATGACCGCGATGAACTCATCAGCCATCCAAGAACCCTAAAAAGCAGAGCCCTAAATATTCAAGAGAACGTATATCTTTAGAATATGCTCATTTTACTACTCTCTGCCCTAAATTTTGGTTATGGCGCTCGCGCCGGAGGCGGTGCTCTACTCCGGCTGCTTGTGGCGGCAGTCAAGGATCTTCCCCTCTCCGAGCTCCGTGGTATGTCACAGAAGCAGCAGCAGCAGCAGGAATCGACGTAGCAGCAGCCGATTGAGCTCCGCATTCTCGGCTGGGAGGAGGGATTGGAGCAGGGGTTTAGGGTTTAAGGGAGAGAGCGCAGCAGCAGTAGCAGCCGCGGCGGCCGTGGATTCTTCTACTAGCGAGGTAGAATCGGCGGCGGAAGCGTTGAAGCTCGAGGAAGAATCGGCCGCGGAAGGTGTAAAGCTCGAGGAAGAATTGGTGAGAAAGGAAGAGGAAGATGGAGCTGCTGGGAGTTCTAAGAGAGACGAAGAGGTGGAGTTTGAGAAGGGATTCAGCATGAGGAGGGTGTGTGACAGGTTGATCGAGGTGTTTATGGTGGACAGGCCCGATCCAGACGAGTGGAGAAAATTGCTAGCGTTTAGCCAGGAGTGGAGGAGGATTCGTCCTTACTTTTACGAGCGATGCAAGGCGCTGGCAGAGTCCGAGGACGATCCGAGAAAGATGGGAAATCTTTACAAGCTCTCCAGAAAATTGAAAGAGGTATAAAGCTTTTCTTGTGTTCTAGGCTGTGTGAGATTTGTCTTAAGTTTTAGCTAAGTTGTTTTGTATCTTTCTTTCCAGGTAGATGACGAGATGATAAGGCACGATGAGCTGCTCGAGGAGATCGAAGTTAACGAGACGGAGATAGATGTCATTGTTGCCAAGCGTCGGAAGGATTTCACGAGCGATTTCTTCAAGCATCTTCGAGTTTTATGTGATGCAAACCATTCCAACTTAGATCGGCGAGAAAGTAAGTCCTTTCCTTCATCTTCATGCTCGTTTTATGAACAAGTCTATGCTCTGTAGAACTGGCACAATTGGCAGCAAGATGCCTGGCTAGCGTCGAAGAGTATGACAAAGGTGCTGAGAACAGTGTAGCCTTGGACGCTGCTCGCCGGAAGTTTGATGACATCCTGAACTCCTCGTCCCTGCAAGATGCCTGCAAGAAGATTGACACCCTCGTCAAGAACAAGCAGTTTGATCCGACACTGATGCTGGTGATCAGCAAAGCTTGGGCTGCTGCAAAAGAATCACCACTGATGAAAGAGGAGGTACAGTCTAGTGAAAGGAAAAGTACAACCTCATTTACTTTTTCAGGTGAAAGACATCATGTTTCATCTGTACAATGTCGCCAAAGGAAATATGCAAAGACTCGTCCCAAAAGAAGTCCGGATCTTGAAGCATCTGCTGACGATTGAAGATCCTCGAGAGAGACTCGGTGCTCTGGCGCAGGCATTCTCCCCTGGAGACGAACTTGAGGGGAAAGATATTGACCTTTTATACACGTAAGTGAGCAACCAATGCAAGTTCTTTTATCCACTTCTATGATCTCTGCTCTTTCCAGGACTCCAAACAGGCTCTACAGGCAGGTGCTGTTCATTCTCGACGCTTACTACAGTAACAAGGAGAAGACGCTGATCCAAGAGGCTCAAAAGCTCATGGATCCACTCGTGATCAGCAGGCTCGAAATTCTCAGAGATGTGATCAAAACCGAATTCCTATGAGCAAGCTTTTGTAAAGATTAATAGATGTATTGCATCCTACTTTTGTGTTCCCTACCACTCTCATGTCCTTGGCGAATTTCACCCCAAGCTCGGGAATCGTGGACACAGTCCGCAATGCTCGCAGGACCTCGAACGAATGAATCTATATATTATTAGTGAAGATTTCTTTAAAAGTTGGTACAAATTTCTAAAACTATTCAAATCATTTGACGATCATTTCTCTCACATTCCTCCTCTGAGACGAAGACTCTTTCTGCGTCTTCAAGCTGCTTTACTGCAATAAGACATTGCTGATCTTTCACGCGAGCAGTTGATGGTATGAAGGACTTCATTTCCGACTAGCTTCATCTTGCAGTCTTGTTATGTTCGGCTGCAACTTAAACTACAACATGGAAAAATGCAAGGACTCAGCATCAAACAAAGAAATCAAAATGTTCAGTTCCGACCTCAGGCAGCAGCTTGCGTTTCTTCACAGGTTTCTCCACCGTCTGAGCGAGCTCCTTCTTTGGCAGGCAGACAACAACTGCCTCCTAGCTGAGGCCTTCCACTTCTATAGAAGAGAAAGGAAAGACAATGTCCACAGAGCACTCCTTGATAGGAGATGCATTGCTGAAGATTCGCAGGACATCAAACCCAGTCGGAGATAAGACTCCATCCACGAGACCACTTAGGAAAGTCACTCTGCCTGCAACACAGTGATGAGAATGAATCACATGGATTAACTCAGTCCTCCTTACCTGCAAAGTTGGGGATGTTCAGCGTGATTATGTAACGCTCAGCATTCTCTTGCAGATCCCAAAGATCCGTCGTCGTCCTCAGCTCGGCCAGGTACTATAACAAGTTTCTTTCGAAGTACCTGGAATTCAAGACCTCCCGCTGCTCCTTCCGGATTTCTATCAGCCTCTGCCGGTAGATATTCTCCACCACTTCTGGGGTCCATCCCAGAAACTCGTTTCCGACATGCACACGCATGAAGCCTTGAACGAAATTAAACTATACGCGTCAGTAAGGTTAGTTGACAGCTTGCCAGTAACCATCTTTCGAGACTGTCACAAGAAAACAGCTGCCTTAGATGACACTGAGAAGATGAGAGGCTTACCATGTTCGGCTTCCTATAAAACACGCCAACGAGCATGTCTCGCAGGGTAAGACACAGTGGCAGGTTTGCATTGTATTGTTCTTCATACTCGTTTTTACGAATGTCGTATAAGGCTTGCATCTCTGCTAGAGTCTTGGGAACCTTGTTGAATGATTCGAAAGGGAAGCTACTCCCGAGTCTAGATTTCATTTCTTCAACAACACGCTGGTAACGCCTGCAAGATGGAATGAGTCGTAATCAGTATCTAGCAGGATCATTTGACAAACTTACTCAAAACTTGCAGGCGTGATTGAGTGGTTCAACACCTTGACGCTTCCGAAAATGTCAAGAATACCATAATTATACTCCTCTTTTGCCCAGACGTAACAGTAGAGCCTCTCAATCGGGTGAGAACTCTTGAGCTCCTTGAGCAACTCGTTGCAACCGGATGAGCCAGCCTGATATATATCTTCAGGAGCCATACTGACCAAACAGAAAATTAGAAAGAAAACAAAATAACGAAAAAAGCTTACATCCACTTTGCCTCTATTACTGAGGCCGGCTGCCAGAAATTGCATGACATATATCGCTTGTCAAGCCACTCCCGCAGTGCAGGGTTAAGAATTTTGGTCACGAATTCACACCTCCACCTCTGCAAAATCAACAGAAAAACTGTTAATAAACAAACGAGAAAACTTCACAGTACATACCCTTTTTGTACTGGATCTCATGAGACTCCTGAAAGTCAGCTGAGATTTCCACCAAAACGGGTTTCCCATTGTCTCCAACGATGACTTCCCCCGTATTGTCCCGAGCAACCACAAGATAAGTCACCCCTTTCACCTCAGCAACCATGTCTCTGTCCCGCGGTATGACGTATCTAAATCCTGGAAAAAGAGAACCCATATGAATTCTATCTTGGTTCTCCGAGGAGGCGTCCATTAAGCAGGCCTTTGTTTCAGTAGGTCCCCGAAGCACCTTGTCCATAATCCGGTCGAGCGTCTCGTTCTTCAAACCAACGCGTGAATGATCCATTTTGTCGTTGGTTGGGAACACCTCTGAACAGATCACCAACGGATTTTGGAACTTGAAGGAAAGTTCGTCAGCTTGAAATGGAGGACACGTTAAAAGAGCTTTGGCAGAGGATGCAAAGCCCACCACTTCCGAGTTTGCCTGTCCGGGTGTTGATAGAGACGACAACAGCAGGGCTTCTGAAACTCGGACACGGTACACTACCTCCCGGTGCTTGTGCTTGAAGTTGTTTGTCCAACCTCTCCAGCCGCCGACACTTAACAAAAAAGGTAATGAGAAAAACCTTAACAAGCTTAGAGAGAAACCGAGATTTGATCAAAACTGAATTCCTATGAGCAGCCTTTTCGAGAATGGATTGGGAGAATTGTGCAATCCGAGGAGTGAAATGTGAAGGCCTTGACTGAAAGATTAGAATCGATGATGGGCGGCAACGAAGATAAAGTCTTCCCACCATGTAGAAACTTTGCGAAATGTATACAAGCTCTTCTCAAGCTTGTCTTTGACAGACTATTCCTCCGTGATCTCTCCTCACTCCTCTCATCTCCCCATACTCACTGAGTGGAGCGGCCAAGAATTTTTATTTTTTGTTCACGTCACTTTCTTACTTCTCTGTTATCGTGACGCATCACTTGATCTTTGCGGGGCAAAACCTGAAGAAAAAAGCGTTATAACTACTTGAGAAACTTTCAAGATGGAAGTCATTGTCTTCAAACCTCTTGATGTTTTCTTTCCGGAGCATCAGGAACCTGAATGTACTGTTGTGCTGTCGCGGAAGACATCAAGGGAGTCAAGAGTTTCACCTCAAGTTGTACAAACATGGATCATCGTGGTCTCTTAGCAGAGTAGTTGGTATTGCGCGGCTGGGATGAGAAGCGAGAGAGAGAAAAAAAAACTAGCTATATTACCTGAATACAAAGACAAGGTTTTGAAGGACATGATGCGACACGTTCTTCGAAGGCCCAGGCTTTTGTGAGATCTCCACCGCCTGTGTTTGCGGATAAGCGCTTTCAAACAAGAAAAATGGCTGGTCAGAACCTTGCAAGCTTTCTCTTGTAAGAACCAATTTTTCTCGGGCTGCAACAAACCGGGGAAAAAATGGAAACTCAGTGCTTGTGAATAAGCAAATCCTCACCTCCCGGTAAATCTCTTCGACTTAATAGAGAGCATGACCACACATTCCACTGTTTCTTTCTTCGTGATGTTGTCAAGTAGTACCAGAAATCAAATCCAAAGCTGGATTGCAAAGAAAATTCAAAGTACCTATCAATCTGCTGCTGATCGTAGCGCAGTCCAGCCCTAAGAAAATATCTTTCCCGCCTAAAAGAATTTGTAGAATATGCTCATTTAGTGGGTGATTAACAATCTTTAGTGATGGTTTTTTTTTTTTTTATAGCCTGTCAAAAAGTATGGCAGAATAGCATAATTGTACATCCTCAATTCCTCATCCTTGCAAACTGTATTAATAGCTTGATTTAAAACTCCTCATCCTCACAAGATCTTTATTAACAATTTGATCCAAAATTGATGTAGCAAAGTTTGGATTGTTGTGTAGGAATCATATTTGATAAAAGAAGAGTTAGAGGTCTTGGATCAATATCAAACTTTTAGATGATGGAGGAGGGAAGTATATCTTGGTAGTTACATACATGAACACTTCCTTATTCAAGTTTATCTCCAAAGGAGAATGTTTATATAAGAATAATATGTTTTGAAAAAACATTTCCAGACTTCTTTAGGAGAAAATAATATAATATATTTTAATTGCATTTTTGTTCATTCAAAATAAGTTTTAAAGGAATATTGTCATTTTATATGCTTAGTAAGTTCAAAGTTTACACCAATAATGGCACTATAAGTTTATGGTTTTCTTTAGGAATAAATATTTTTGTAACAATATATAAATAAATATAATATGTTTCACTTGCATTTTCTATTCATTCAAAATAAGTTTTCAAGGTATATTGTCATTTTAAATGCTCAGTAAATTTAAAGTTTATACCATTAGTGGCATTATTAGTTTATGGTTTTCTTTAGGAATAAATATTTTATAACAATGTATAAATAAATATAATATATTTCACTTGCATTTCAAAATAAGTTTTAAAGGTATAGTATTATTTTAGATGCTTAGTAGATTTAAAGTTTACACCATCAGTAACATTATCAGTTTATTGTCTTCTTTAGAAACAAATATTTTTATAACAACGTATAAATAGATATAATATATTTCACTTGCATTTTTTATTTATTCAAAATAAGTTTTAAAGATATATTATCATTTTAGATGCTTAATAAGATTAAAATTTACACCATTAATGGCACTATTAGTTTTTGGTATTTTGTGGAGGTCAATATACATATGATTGGAATGAAGAATAATATAAATATAAAATATTTATTATTAAACTAAGTTAAAAATAGTTATTTATAGGATTTTTGCCTCCTACAACCTTCAAAAGGTTCACAACTTGATACAAAAATAAAAAATTATATAAATAACAATAAAATAGCAAAATACTTTCAAAAATTAAATATAGAAATATACTCCACATTGATTCTGTTTAGAAATGAAGCTAACTAATTGGTAACTTCTACACAAAACATATCAGTATCTTCATCGTCTGAGGAATCTAAGAAAAGAAGAAGAATATTGACTATCTTATATAATAATTTTCATTTTAAAATTTATAGTTTTATAATTTTAAACTTATATGACCAACTCAGAATATCAACCATTTTATTTAATAATTTTTAATGTTTAGAAGTAATATATCTATTTTTTATGAGATTTTAATAAAAATAATTATTTTTGAAGCTCATGAGCATAAATAAATTATAAATTTCCTCACCTTTGACTACAAAAACCCAACTCCTCCCACGAGTCTGGGACAAGATCGTCAAGTACGAACTCTCTCTCCTATCAAGGAAATTATTTAAAATATATTATAAATATAATAATAAATTCATTAATAATAGTATGTGATATTAAATACATTAAAAAATTTATGAAAATTAGAAAACATATATTACAAATGGTTTTCTTTTACATTTGAATTTAATTTTTAATAGAAAGATCTACTCATTTTGTTTGGAATTGTTTAAAAAAAGTTACCCTATTTGTCTTTTATGCATTTTTTATTTATTAAAGATATCAAAATTTAAGTTTTTCTCAAAGTAAATTCCACTATACTTACTTTTAATACATGTTTTATTTATCAGCACTAGCTGCTATATCAAAAAATAATTTTAATAATAATAAAATTAAATAATTTTATATAATAATTAAATTTCTCAATAATTATTTGTGAAATTTATTTGAATAAAAACATGATAAGTAGACATTCATTTAATTGAGCTTTTAGGGTTGAACTTACTATGTTTTCTATATAAAAAAATATATAAAAGGTTTTTATTATTTGCCCTAATTTTCAACAAAGTTTTCCGATTGAATGGAAGTGTATGGTAAGTTGGTGGCCGAGCATTTTGTTTTTGGGTTCCAAGCTCTTCTCTATGGTGCAGACTTTGTAGCTGCATATGACGCATGTCAGGTAGCACTCTTATTCGAGAAAGATGTGTGGGGTTTAAGGATGACCCCTCGTACCTGTGGGACACCAGCCACTCCATCAGCGCTATCTGGCCATACTCCCCAATGGCCTCAACGGAGGAGGGGCGGTAGAACGTTTACAGGTTTGTGGGCTGCTCATGAGCTGTCTAAAGAACGGCGAGGGCACCGGATTTCAGTGATGGGTGCAATGGAATCGGGCAAGTCGTATTTGGTTGCTGCAGTTTGCAGTCACATACAGCAGTCTGGAGACAGGCATGTTGTCTTCCTCAACGCTGGAGATCTAGTCCGGAGCTTTCTGCCGCTGTGTGGGAGGGAATTCTCATGGCATTCCATGGCCACGAGACGGCAAGCCAGGAGCTGCGAGATCTGAATGAGCTCTACTTTTGGTGTGGCCGCAGACGGGAGCAGCTTCTGTTCGTGGTGGATGACTGGGAGGTGTTTGACGCCCAGCACGGGGACAGTGAGGAAACGAGAATTGCCAAGGACAAAACTAGACAACGCATACTCGACTTTGCGCGGCGCCGCCTCTTGGTTGGGATCTCAGCCAAACGCTATCAGAAGGAGCAAAGTCTCAAGAGGAAGCTGATCCTGGACAGGCAGAAGTTTGTGCTTGACGGACCTTTCAGCCAGATGGAGCTCAAGACATGGCTGGCTTTGTCGTCGTTACCAGAGAGCCTCAAGACGTCTGCTAGCATCCATTACCTTACTGGTGGTATGCCGGGCTTGCTCGAATGCCTGGAAGTGGCAAATGGAGATGAGGCTGTCTACCTGGAGTTGATACAAGGGTATACAGCCCGACTCGGCCCCGACTTTGTGGACAAGTTGAGCACTCCAGCCGAGATTCAAGCGGGCGTCAATCTTGTCAGGAGCGGAATCATGCCTGAACTTCTCGCTGGGAAGCTGAATTTCTCGTGCTTCTACAGGGATGGTTCATTGTGTTGGCGTTTGCTTTGCCCACACATCAATGAGTTTACTTCGAGTGCGTCTAGAAGAGCAGCAGAGCTTCAAGGTTGCAGCTTGATGGTTTCACATCACTGGACAATCTTGGGTGTTTTGAAGGTATAGCGGTAGCATTTAGATTCTCGTTTTGAAGGTGATGATAGCATTTAAATCCTTAAGGTGATGAAATCATTTCATTATTAATGTTAATGTTATTAATGCCTAATTTACTATTTATTTATTTATTCATTTTGGTTTTTATTTATTTTGCATAAAACTTGCATACTTTGCATTCAACAGAAGCTTCTGAACACAAATCAGAGCCTCCTTTCTTACTTCACTGTTATCGTGGTTCATTAGACGCATCACTCGGTCTTTGGCTCTCATGTCCAAGACAATGCCCCGGCCAGCGGGATGAAACTGGATAAACTGCGCAATGTCTTGGCACGCGACGGCCTGCGTTCTCGGATCACGAGAGTTGTCGAGAATGGTCACAAGTATTCGCAAAACCTGGAGCAAAAACCACAAGAACTTAGATCCCACCTTTAAAGAACTACAACACTACACCTGGAAGTCATTCTCCTCGAATTTCTTGATGTTTTCTTTCCAGAAGAGAGGATCTTTGTGCATCGGAGTCCAATCCAAGTTACCGGACAGCACCTCCTGCTTGTACTTCTCGAACGAACTCAGCAGCTTGAGGTTCTTTTTCAGTGTCTCTTCCATGAAATTGAGAGCTTCGGTGAGATCCTGTCCAGCAAAACGTATTTACATATGCAAGCTTGAAAAAGCAAAAGCTCTTACCTCGTCACTCCATGCTTGCATCTTGAGGTTCTGGATGATCTTTGGCATCCCGAGCTCGACCATGTCTCGTGCAAAAGTTCCTTTCGTGAGAAGATTTCGCAGCGTCAAAATAACCACTCTCACAACCTGCAACACTCTCGCTATTGTTTCGAAAGTAACACAAAGAAAGATGAAAGCAAACCTTTTCTTTGGAGGACGTTCTCGCGACTTCCACCAGCCGAGGTAAGGCTCGGGTGGCTGCTATAGCGTCCACGGCCAAGCTGTAGAACGAGAGGAGCCACATGCACAGAGTTGCCTCGTACAGTAGCTAGAAACGGAAAACAAGACTACCGCTGTTAAAAACCAGTTGAGTTGAGAGCACAGCATCACGAACCTGAATGTACTGCTGTGTTGTTGCGGGAGATATCAATGGAGTCAGGAGTTTCACGCCCTCAAGTTGGACAAACATGGATTTCACACCGTGGTCTCTTAGCAGAGTAGCCAAAGAGCTCACGGCTGTTGGTATTGCGCGGCTTGGATGAGAAGGATGTCTTAGCTGCCGAGAGATAGAAAAAGAAAATCATTCGGTGGATCGATGGAAACAGTAGCTATATTACCTGAATACAAAGCCACGAGACAAGTTTCTGAAGGACATCCTGCAATACGTTCTTGGAAGGCCCAGGCTTTTGTGAGACCTCCACCGCCTGTTGTCGTGGACGAGCGCTTTCAAACAAGGAAAAGTAAGACAAATTCTCTCGCAAAGTCTCAAAACAAGCTACCTGATCAAGACGGTCAGAATCTTGCAAGCTTTCTCTTGCAAAAACCAATTTTTCCTGGACAACAAACTGGGGGAAAGAAAAGGAAGACTCAGTGCCTATCCATCGAATCAACAAATCCTCACCTCAAGAAAGGCCGGTAAATCTCCTCGGGAGAAAATTCTTCATCGTGGAACAATGCAGCATGCTTTATCGGATCCACTGGCATGAATTCAAAGAAGTTTGGCTCAGTCATCCTTCCAAAAAACAACCATACTTCCAAAAGCTATGGACTTACCAGAAAGCATTTCATCCACCAACGCTACCACATACTCCACCGTTTCTTCCTTCGTGATGTTGTCAAGTAGTCTCAAGAACACTCTCACATAAGCAACACCGTTCTGCCAAAAACAAAGAAATCAATCCTCTCCAATCCAATTCAATCCAGGAAACTAGATTCTAGCAACGAAAATTCCCAATTACCTCTTCTAGCATAGCAATCTGCGCATCCTCGGGCTTGTGATCGTAGCGCCTCAGCAGCTGCAAATCCGTGCTGGAGATGAGCTTCGCATTGAGGTAATTCTCCCATGGAATGTCTCTCGTCAACACCTGCAATGGGGTTTTCACTGAGAAAAATCCATCGCAATGGGGGGAATCTACCTGATCTCGCGTGAGATCCATTGGCGGATCCATCGCCTAGTCCATCCAAGAGCCACAAATCCAGCAGCAGCAGCTCGGATCTATCCCAATTCGCGCAAAGAGAAGAGAGAGCCTCGTTGCCCTAATCAATCCTTTTCACATTATAGGGCTCTTCACAGAAACCAAAAAATCTGGACGAGCAAAAGAAAACTTTCCTTTCTTTCCTTTTATCTTGTGCCTTCTAATCCTTGAGAAAATGGGGTGAGAGGTACTTGGTGATGCCGATTCCAAGCAGCGATTCACACTGGAGTAGTTCTTTGAGCTTGGCGTCGCAAATCACTCGCCTCCTGTCCTCTGGATCCTGGAAAAATAAGAAAAAGTGTTGGATCGATCAAGAAAAAAACTGTTTTTTCCTTCTTACCTGGAGGTTGTGCTCTTTGATGTAATCCCACATGAGCTTCACCACGTCCGATCGCACCATCTCCGTCTCGTTCGTGGCCAGGAAGGATTTGAGCGCTTGCGAGATCCGAAAAGGCTTGCTGAGGCCGCTTCCTCTGGACGAAGATGGTGACTTCGGCGGCTTCGGCTTGGATACTCCAGTTGGTCCTGCCACCATCGCCAGAGCATAGTAAGTTCTCGTCGAGAAAACAAGACTGAACTTCACTCCCGATCATAGTTTCTTAATCTCTTATGAATCTAGCGGTAAACTATGAAAAATGCTAGCTCTCCTTAGAAGGAAACTATGAAAACAATGCTAGATCCCCTCTCACGAAAACTAAAATGCTAGCACTCCTCTCCTAAACACTCTCGGAAGAATCTCTCGAGGCTAAGAAAAAGGAGGAAGTTTCTCTTACCCGTGTATGTGAGATGCCTGGAGAGTAATCGGCTCAGCTGGAACATATCAGTCCTCTCCACGCCCAAAACTTGAGCCAAATCCGCATTGCACACGATGCTTCGCCGGTCGGCCGGGTCCTGGAGGTTGTGCTCGTGAATGTAGTTCCACACGCTCTTCACCACCTATAGAACGAGAACGATGAGACCAAAATTTACAAGGAAGAACAAAGAAGTTAAGAACAAACAACCAAAGAACATAGAAAACAAGCAAAACAAAGAGCATCGAAATGGATGAAAGAACCGAAGGAAAAATCTGCCTGGAAGGAACAAGCAAGAGATAAGAGAACTAGATCCAGGAGAGAAAGAAGGAAGAAAAGAGAGGGGAGAGCTAACTAGAATGCAATCTAAAAGAAAACAAAGAATCTAAAGGGAGGAAAAAGAGGAGATGGTTACTTACTTGAGGCCGCGGGAGCTCTTCTTTGCCGATTATCCTCTGGAGCTCCTCCGAGATCCGGCAGCTCCTGGTAAATCCACTGGGCACCTCCTGGTGCTTGGCCGCTACGGCGCTGTGGCGGCATTGCAAAGATTTTTAGCTCCTGGCCACGAGAATTAGAGATTTCTTCTACCTCTCGGCGTGCGATGAAACCCTGGCGAGGAGAAAGCCCTTCCTCGCCGCGCACCCCACTGCCAGAGCCACGATCACATACATTGTCCTCTAGAACCCACGAGAAATCTTACTGCGAGCGATGGAGCTGAGGCCCAGGACCGCCGCGCCGCGCCGCAAGGAGGGATCATCGCCGCCGCAGTCGTGCTGGAAGGATTGGATGAGGGAGGACGACGAAGAGGACAAGGCCGCCATATCCAAAATGCCAAAGAGATTTTAGGGTTCCTGGGTTTAGTAGCAGTAGGCATACCAGAATATGCCAAATTCCCGGCGGAATATGCTTTGTTCGTCCTGACCAGTACGAACTTAAATAACTCATGTTTTTCATGGTTTTTGAAGAATTACTTTTTCACGATATTTATGAAAACAAAGGGCCATATGTACAAAATTTATCCACACTCTTCCTTCTTTCCTCTTAAACCCCGGAATACCCTTCCTTTAATCTTTCCTTGAGAAAAAGCGGGATTCACACTGGAGCAAAATTCTCAGAGCTTGGCGTCGCAAATCACTCGCCTGGTCCTTCAATCCATTGAAAAAAGAGTTGGATCGATCCAGAAAAGAAAAAAAAACCTGTTTTTTACCTGGAGGATGTACCATCTCGGTCTCGTTTGGCCAGGAAGGATTTGAGCGCTGGCGAGATCCGGAAGGGCTTGCTGAGGCCACTTCCTCTGGAAGTCGAGGACGAGGATGGCAGCTTGGGCTTGGATACTCGCCAAAAACATAGTAGGTTCTCGGATACTCAAACTTCTAATCGAAAGAACTCCGGATCTAGAAGTAAGCTATGAAAGATGCTAGCTCTCCCTAGAGGAAACTATGCTAGCTCTCCTCCCGAAAACTGGAGCCTAGAATGCGAGCTCTCCTCTCTCGAAAATCCACGAAACTCACTCTAAGAAAAAGGAGGAGGTTTCTCTTACCCAACATATCAGTTCTCTCCGAGTCCGCATTGTTGCACACAATGCTTCGCCGGTCGGCCAGGTCCTGGATGTTGTTTGCGCTCGTGAATGTAGTTCTCACGCTCTTCACCACCTATAGAGCGAGAACGATGAGACCAAAACCAAGGAAGTTAAGCCATTCAAACCAAAAGCAAAGAAAGGACCGAGGAAAGATTCGCTTCGAAGGGAAAAGAAAGAGATAGAGAACTAGATCCGAGAAACGAAAGAAAGAGGGAGAGAGGGAGCCTAGAACGCAATCTTAAAGAATCCAAAGGGAGGGAAAAGAGGGGAAATTCTTCTCCCTCTCGCATGCGAACGAAAACTCTTACCGCGAGCGATGGAGCTGAGCCAAGGATCTCCGCGCCGTGCTGCGAGGGATCATCGCCGCCGCCGCTGCTGGAAGGATTGGATGACGGAAGACGACGAAGAGGACAAGGCCGCCATATCCAAAATGCCAAATTTTAGGGTTCTAGGAGAATAGAAACGAATGAAGCGCGCGAGAAGCTCCGATGAAGAGGAGGAAGAGGAGGAGGAGGATGACGACGACGATGAAATGGACGAGGAGGAGATCGCGCTGATCCAAGAGCGAGCGTACCAGGACTGCATTGGTGAGGTGAGGGAGCTCGTCGGGCCAGAAGCTACGAATTTGCTTCGCGACACGACGAAGAGAATCTGCGCTGTTTGCCCGACGAGGACGGAGTTCACTGGCTGGAGAGGGCTCATCGCTCACGCCGAGACGATCCGGTGAGAAAAGCTCTTCTTTTTCGGTGTTCTTGGATTCTTTCTTGGAAGTCTTGCGTTTTTTTTTTTCGTGTGTGTTCTTCCGGTGAAAGTCTTGCGTTTTTTCCTTTGTCTTTGCTGATGATGAGCAATGGTTTTCCAGGGACCGGAAGAAGTTTGTGAATCGGCACCGAGGCTACTATCGAGCTCTGGTGGAAGTGCTGTCGCCAAATTCAAGGATGCACGGCACGACGCCAACTCCGGCCCAGAAAATGAAGCACGAAGTGAGCAAGGAGAAGCTGCGATCGTTCAAGATCGAGGAGAAGAAAGAACTCGTCGCCAGCAGCAGGAGTGCCATCGAAGCCGCGCTAAACGAAGCCACGCAAAGCTTGGAAACCGATAGAGCTCGAAGGGAAGAAATGCAACGACGCTTCGCACAAGAGGTAAAGTTCTTTCTTCTTGTTGGTTCTTCTTTCCTTTCTAGTCAATCTTTTGTTCAGATTTCTCGACTGGACGAAGATTTCGAGAAGAGAATGAGACGGCAGCAGGCTGAGTTTGAAAAGGTGAACTTGATGCTGCGAGAGAAGCTTGATTTCCAGGACTCCAAGACCGAGAAGGAGAAGATGGATCATCTCGAATACTTGCAACGGCTGCGAGCTAAAGAATCAAGGAACGCACAAGAGACGTAAGTTTGCGATCGACTCTTTCGGCTTTCGCTAAACGCTGGCTCCACAAATGCAGCGCCTTGAAGCTCCAGGCCATGGAAAACAAAAAGCAGCAGTTTGAAGCCTCGGTAAGAGAGGCCGAGGAGAAGTTTAGGCAGGAACACGATAGCTTGGAGATGGATCTAATCGAGCGTGAGAGCAAGGAAATCCTGGAAGTAAGTCTCATTCTTTCTCTTCTTTAAGTTGATCATTTTGTTTTTTTTCTCTCTTGCGTTTGCAGCTCCAGATGCAATTCGAGAAGGAGATTGCAGAAGCAATGAAAGAGTCTTCCAACACACCAGTCGCTGCCGCTCCTCCTTCCAGTGACAAGAAGGTGAAAACTTCTGAGACTTTTGCTTCTCTTCTGCTTCTACTTTCGTTTTCCAGGACGAATGCTCGCACTGTTTGGAGGATTTCGAGAACTGTGGCACAAGGGCGTTGCTGATTCCTTGTGGACATGCTCTCATGTGCATGGAATGCGCCAAGAAAGTCCAACAAGAGCACAAAAGCTGTCCTCACTGCCGGGCTCCAATCGAGCAAGTCCACAAGTTTTACAAGTAAGCTTTTGAAAGACAAGCCCTTTATTCACTGAAGAAAAACTGTCAAAACTTTCCACTTGCAAAAATCCTTGGTTATTCACATGTATACAAGCCTCCCCTCGTTTCTTACCTCTAGAACTGTCGCTGAGAATCACCTGTTAGACCATTGGAATTCTATCTCCAGCGTGCGCGGACTTCCATCTCGGTTGCTATCGGGCTTGAGTTGATACTCTCCACTTAAGTTGCCCAGCAAAACCACGCGGTCGATCTGTATGGTGACTTTACCAAGCGATGCCTGCTCGAGAGGAAGGACGAGAACATCAATATCTCTCTCAAACAAAGAGAGAACTTTCGTTACCTTTCCAAAGGCTCCCTTGTTCTTGCATGATATGTGAAGCTTCTGGCCCTTTGGGGGCGTGTCGAAAGCCCACGCAAATCCTTGCTCCCATTGCGGAGCACTGTTGTTGGAAACAACCTGTGACGGGCGAAGGAAAACACCATTTCTCTATAGCTTCAGTACCGACGTGAAGGATCGAAGGACAACTTACTCGTGTCTGTCGAGGAGGTCCACTTCCCAGCGTGATCTTGCAAAACGCGTTGGTTCCACCCATGGACTGCCGCAAGTTGTTTCCACGCTTGATGTTAACCAGCAAGTTCCCGGGTAAGCACTGCAGGAGAAGCTCTATGCGCTCGTGGAAGCGCTGAGGACCGGTTCTCATCAGCATCTGGAGCACGGGTATGGCGTCCGCCATTGCGTTTGCTTGAGCTCGGCCCTCTTCTTCCGGACTGGCCGACCATGTCTGGCGAAAGAGGAAGAGAGTGTCCAGTGCTGCCTCTTGCGCCACCTCCGACTCGGTCTTCATAGCTCCGATCAAAAGAGGAATGCTGGCGGTGGCTATCTCGGTGATCCGGAACTTCGGATAGAGGTTGAAGAGCGTGTTGATGGCTTTGATCACCTCGTCTTTGATCGGTTCTCTGGACCACAAATCCTTCTCGAGTAACGCTGAAAGAGAAGGCAGAAAGTTATAAGCCTGGATGACAAAGTTTAAAACTTACCGAGTAAAGCTTGGATCACCTCTATGGATGCGAACTCCTGGATCGTATAGTTGGAGAAGAGAATCCGGATCAGAGCCGCAGCTTGCACGGCAGTATCGGAGCTTGCGGTGGCGACGAGCTCTTGCAGAGCTTGCACTCCTCCAGCCTCGGCAACAGCGCGCTTGTTTGGACGACTGTTCACCACCAAGTTTTGCAACGCACAGATTGCCACCATTTGTATCTCTTCGTTGTGCTGGCCCTCCAGTAAACTCACCAAGGCCCGGCATGCCGAGACAGCATCAGTCGACTTGCAGAGAGCGTCGTTCTGGAAGAGATCACCAAGAGCGAGAGCTGCCAGCAGTCTTGCCTGCTCCGACTGTGTCTGGGGATCCAGAAGAAACTCAGACAAGGGACAAACTGCGAGCTTGGTTGCTTTCATGCCCCGGACGGTAACGTTGTTCACGAGTGACTCCAGGAGGCGAGCAGCTGCTTCTTCGCATTGGTGGCTCCTCAAAATCTCCACTAGAGACTCGACAGCTCCATTCTCTGCCATGATCTCCGCGGTGGACGCGTCTTCTTTCTCCATGACCAGCAAGGCGTGCAGAGACACAGCCACCGTCGCCTCGGACGTGGATCTTAAAAGCTTCGAAACCACTGCTGGCGTGAGCTCCTGGCAGTAGTTCTGTGAAAGGTTGGAGAGCAGCTTTGCAGCGCATTCCCACAGGCCGTGCGGAGCCGGAGGATCGGTCTGCAAGATGATCTTCGAAACCTCCGAGATACCACCCGACTCCACCAGTGCGTCCGGCCAGCTGGTGGACGCAAGCTCCAGAGCATTCACGGCTCTTTGCTGGACGCTGAGAGCACCACTGCTGCCCGCCAACTTTACAAGCGCTGGAACCGCAGCTTGAGTGATTGGATCCTGCTGGAAGCGAGGCTCCACGAGTAAATGCGAGAGGAGCTCCGCTGCTACTTGTTGGACGGACTGGGACGTCGACTCGAGAAGCTGCACCAGCGGCTGTAGAGCGAGACCGCAACTCAAAGTTTGCGAAGCCGTGCATTGTGGCTTTTCGATGATGTTTACCAGCGTCTGGACGGCACTGTGCTGGCCTGCAGGTCCAATCTCAGCTCGAGTCTGCAGCATCGTGAACAGGGGCTCGACAGCCTTGGCTGCCGACGTGCTCTTTGCGATGCTGCTGTTGTTGGTCAGAATCCTCAAAAGTTCTGCTCCGCGAGCACAAAAAGAGTCCGGCGAAGGCTCCTGTCCCATACTGACGAGAACTCTGTCGATCACTCCGGCTTTTACCATGTCAAGCTTGCAAAGTGGTCGATCCTTCCCGAGCTTTATCAGAGCACTCACTGCCACCTCGTGCACCTTGAAGCTAGCACCGACTATGAGCTCCACGAGTGGAACCACAGCACCATATGCTGCTACTGCCTCGGCCTGTTGCTCGTCGTCCAAGAGATTATCGAGAGCCTGAGTAGCGACGTGCTGCACGGACTCGGCCTCGGCGGTACTGAGCAAGTCGATCAGGGGAAGGATGCAGGTACTAGCAGCAGCCTTGGATCTTACTCGTGCGTTTGCAAAAAGGACCGAGCAAAGCTCCGCTGCATGCTCTTTAAGCTGAAGTGACGACGAAGAAGTGTCGGCCGACAGTATCTTGCTCAAGATCTCTAAAGTATTGAGCTCAACGTCGCCAATCACGATCGCCTTGTGAGGATTGTCTGCCGCTAGAGATATCAGCGCACCGATTGCCGCTCGCTGCTCTCGCTCCACGGCGGCACTCAGCATCTCAACCAGTGGTACAATAGCTTGAGTCGCTACGTCTCCACCTCGGATTTGCTCAGCACCAAAAACACCCTGGAGTGCTCGAGCTGCTGTGTACCTGGATCCTCGAGCTCCCATTCTCAACACTGCTACAAGCTGGTCTACTGCACCTGAAGCCGAGTCGTGACGTCGAAGCTCGGGACTGCTGAAAAGAATCCTCAGGAGCTCGGCAGCAGCTTCTTCTATGGCATCTTGAGGGCCGAGAGAGAGATACTTTGTGAGAGCTTCTAGAGCTCCAGCTTCGGCCATTGTCACCCTGTTAACGTGGTTTGCTTCGGCAATCTGCGTAAGTAGACTGAGTGCCAAAGGTGGCGCACCAGGACGGCCTGGATTTGGCTTGAGGAGCTCAACCAGAGCTGGTATAGCCTTGCGAGCAGTAGCACCGTATCTGATATCGTCGACTCTAAACAGTCTCTCCAAGGCAACCTGGTCGGGACTGGAAACCAGCAAAAACTCTTCCGAAAGTGTCACCAGATTTCCTGCCTCCACTTCTGCACTGCCGAGAAGAGAAATCAATCCCGGAACTGCTCCAGAGTTGGCTACAGCGAGTAGAGTTCCACGACTCCCGTGGCAGACGAGGCTTGCCAGTGCTTGCGCTGAGAAATATCTGTCCATGGTGTCCTCCGACTTGAGCAGCAGCGACAGCGCTGGAATAGCTCGAGACGTTGCCGGGGCACGGGAGACGTCCCGGTCGAGAAAAAGGATCGCGAGGAGCAAGGCACTGATCCAGTTATTTCCAGATTCCTCGACCTTTGCCTGCATGGAAGTAGCATCAGTCAGAAAACTGGAACTAAGTTTAAAACATACCTGTCGAGCGTTTGGAGCAAAGATGGCGAGCTTCTCCGCAAGAACATCGATCGCTCCAGCCTCCATGATGGCAACTTTGCTGCCGCTGTCGTGAGTAGCGATCACGGAGAGAAGCCAGAGAGCAACAGTCGTAGCTCCCAAGCCTCCGGGAGAGGCTGTTTCAAAATCACCATCTCCGGAGCTCCCTTGAAGCATGCCGACTAGAGTCTGGATCAGCAGTGAAGCGCATCCCGACTCGGCAAGAGCATCCATGGCTTTCTGACCGTGTTCCTTCGCGGCACATATGAGAAGAGCCGTTCCACCAATCTTAACTTCAACGTTGCTCGATCTGATGATCCGGTCTGCTAGAGAAGCTATGCACTTGTCAGTGTTTGCGATCAAGCCTCCCAAGATCGCAGCTTTGTCCTGGCAAAGTCTCGCCAGCACCTCAATAACTTTCTCGCAAAGGACGGGTGATCCGATTGCAGCGCACGTAACCAGCGGGCCAAGGCTCTCGATCACACCCAGAAGTTGACGGCTATAAGATGCATTCGTCTTGGACCTTGCCACCGCCGAGAGCGCGTCGAGAGCTTGGATCGTCTCCACTTGATCGAAGCTCACTCCAGTTAAGAGGTCCGCTAGAGCCACCATGGTGCCGCAGAAACTAATACTCTCCGCAAGCTTGTCGTCGATGGAATGCACCGCAAAGAGCCGAGCCAGTGCCGCAGCAGCGTCGTCTCTTCCAGCCTCACTGCCTTCTCGTAGAATCCGAGTGAAAGGATCTATCAAGTCTCCAAGCGGCACGTCCAAGGCAACCTCCTCGTCCACCAAGAGAAACGCGAGTGCTTTCACTGCTGCTTCAGCGGGAGCTAAGCTCGTCACCTTGGCCAGAGCAACCAGCGGTGTTATAGCGTCCACGGCAGCGTCTTTCACGTAGCCATGCTCTCGGATAGAAGAAAACAAGGCAGCCAGAGCTAGCGCCGCCTGAGCAGCAACGCTGATCGTCCCTGGCTCCTCCTCGTTGATGTTCCTGACGAGCTTGTTTAGAGGTCCGACGGCCTTTTGGACAAGAGGACTGTGATGCATGTCCTGGCGAAGAGCAAAGACCCTGGCTATCACCGAGGCAGCCTTTTCTTGCGTCTCCTTGCTGCTTGGAGACTCGAGTAAAGTCATGAGCGTGTCAAAGGCCTCGTATCCAGCAGCTCCTTCCTTGCCCATGTCTTGCTCCGCAACTACAGCGAGCAAGCAGCTCGTAACTTCCAGTACGTGCTGCTTCGAAGATGGTAAGTCCCCGACGAGCATGGCCGTAAGCTGGCTCAAAGTATCAGCGTCCGGTCGTCTCACAAGCTTAGTTATGGCACGAGCAGCGATCTCTTGTCCTTCGGGGCTAGCGTTCTTGAGCAGCCACAAAAGTGCTGCCTCCGCTTCGGCAGTCTCAACACAGGCACGGATATCTTCGCTGTGAGAGCACAGATTGCCGAGAACAATTGCCGAGTCTTCTTTCGCCTTTGGAGAGCCTGTTTCGAGAAGCTGGACGAGCGGTGGAATTCCTCCAGAGGCTGTGATGGCCCAGTTACTTTCATCGATTTGTCTCGAGAGAATGGAAAGCAGCGCCACTGCGTACTCTTGCTGCTGCTCGGAAGAAACTCCAAGCAAGGATATCATGAACTGGACACCGTCCCGACCGCGGATAGACTCCCAAAGTCCGGCCTTCCCACTGCAAATGCTGCTGAGCGCTCGTATAAGCTCCACTCGGATCCATGGATCGGCCAACGTCGCTAAGCCGACAAGCATCTTCTTCGCCTCGGCATGCTCGAGATTGGACGCCAAGTACGTGTTGCTGTACAAACTCGCCAGTGCCTCGATGACGTGCTCTTTGAGTAGTTCATCAACGTCTTGATGCTCCATCAGCTTCACCAGAAGCCTCTCCAGAGAGCTCGGATTGACGACACAGCCGGAAGAATCCTTCTCTGCCGAGGAAGAGTCGATGACCATGAGAGCGTACGCTAGAGCGCCGACTGTGTCTGCACTGACTGCTCCAACTTGTTGCTGCTGGTTGAGCTCCTCGGCTAAACGCCCGACCACCGTCGTCATTCCTCCGAGAACGTTGGCCAGTGATCCCATCGCATTCTCCTGAAGCTGCTGGGCGAAAACTCCTTGCATGAACTCCTTGGAAGGAGCTACCACGGCCGTGATCAGTTCTCGTATCATCCCGCCACCATTTGTCTTTGTGATATACTGACGAGCTTCCGGTGAGTGCTGCGTGAGAGCACGAAGAGCTCCGGCGGCCTCGGCTCTCACTCCCGTCTCGTGTCCATTCTCAAGCAACTTAAACAGCTGATCGAGCGCTCCAGTCGTGGAGAAAACTTTGGGTCCGCTTGTTTCTACAGCGTCCATCAAGCTGGCCAGGATGGAAGCTGCATTGGCCTGTGCGTCCGAGTTTCCACTCCCGAGAAGAGCTGCTAGAACCTGGATCCCCCCGGCGTCTAGAGTTGCCGACCAGAACCCCTCTACGACGTTGTTCTTGTTGCAAAGGTTGCGAAGAGCTCCGGTCAAGAGCCCCAGCACGCTAGTTTCCAGCTTGTTGCCCGGTTGGAATTGCTCCCACAGGCTTGGAACCACACCCTCGGTGGAAAAAATCTTGGCCCCAACGTGGTCGACAGTGGTGGTCACTGCAAAAATCGCTTTTGCTGCAGCACTGTGAGCGACTGTGGATCCAACCTTGAGCAGCGCGAGCAAAGGCGGAACGCATCCCCCCAGAAGAACTTTCATTCTCAGCTCCTCCTCCTTGCAAAGAAGGGCCATGACCGCCGCTACGTTGATCTTGGAACTGGTGGTACCTGTTCTCAGCAAATTCACCAGCAGTGGTATCGCTTGCGTGTGAGATGTGATCGCCTTCTTGGCATTTTGATCTCGCTCCTCCACGAGCACCAAAAGCTGCTTGGAGGCATTCTCTTTCTCCTGGGGGCTGAAGCTTGCTCCTCTCAGCTGCTCGATGCACAGTGCTACACTGGCCAGGACACCGTCCGGGTCCTCCATAGCCGAGTCCCTGGAAGGAAAACAAAGAAAAACCATCAATGTGGACAAGACTCCACCAAGAAGAGCTCAGATCTAAGCTTACCTCACAGCTCTGGTGCTCGTGACCGACCGTGGAGTCGCAGGCTCAACATGGCTCTTGAGAGACTTTGAAATTTGCTGCAAGGCTGGGCGAACAAGCCGCTCGTGCTCCTCGGACACCATTCTGGAGCACGAGGGTCAGCTCGGCCGAGAGTGGATGCGAAAAACCGAGAATGCAGGCACAGATCCTAGCTACAAACCCACCTGGAGTTGGATCCGAGCGATCAACCATGCAGCGCCAATGGATCTGGAGAGCCGACCCAATCAATTTGGACAAGGGGATTGTCCGAAGAGGCGAGCTTTACGGACCATTCCTGGAGGAGATTAGCTTTAGCTTAAGAAAAGGAAGAAAAAAAGAAGAGATATAAGTACCTCGTAGCTTGAAGAAGATGCTTGGCGACCACGTTGGTGAGGTGAGGCGGCCCATCACTATCGTAAAACGAGTGACTACCAGCCAATGGTAGGTCCCCGACGCATAGAATGCGGTACCATATGAGATTTTCTTCCTCCAGCCTGGAAATCTCGGGCACCCCGCTTGATCGAGCTTGAGTGGTCCTCTCCTCCATAGCTTCACCACCTTGGAGCTCCTGCTAGAGTTGGAGCCCATCTCACTTCCTTGATCTTTTCGTGGAGACCATTCTTCTCCGAGAACTCGATCGAGTCGGCTGTACCGCTACCAGTAGTCTTGACAGGAGCACTCGCCACTTGCAAAGTGATGGAACCGACGAGTGTCTCGAACGAGGATCTCCCGTCCCACGGTCTTGGAGATGAGCTTGACAGCGGCATGGCAGTCGGAGCAAATCCGGAGGTTGTTCACGACTCGAACGATGGTGTCACTGCCACCGCGCATCAAACCGAAAGCTATGGCCATTCTCTCACTGTGTTGATGGAGGACGCCTTCCTTCTCAGCCTCCTCAACATCGTGCATTACCACACTTGTGTCGGGGACGTAGCCAGCGCTCTTGATAAGCTCCTCGAGCCTTTTCATCTCGCTGTCGATCCCCTTGTGCTCTGGATGGAGGTGGAGTTTCCCGGCGACGAACTCGTGAATCGCGCCTTCCACTTCGATGAAGCTACAACCCCTTTGCCTCGACGTGATCATCCCCTTGGACCATTCCTCCGTAATCTCGTTCCTCACTCCTGTCATCTCCTCCCACTTCTTCGCTTGAGCGTATATGTTCGAGAGCATCACCAGTGGAGCGGCCGAGTTCTTGAGGTGCCAGGAGCCACTGCCGCTGCTGCTGCTGCTCAAGAGCTTCTTCTTCTTCGCTGACAGAACGAAAGAAATTCTTGCTGCCCTCTTCACGTCTGTATGAACTTTGCAAGAAGCCAGCAAAGCCATCCACGGCACAAACTCGTCGGCTGGATTTGAGAACGCTGGCATGCGCTCTACCAATCTTTCAGCCGCATCTAACCAGCCTGCTCGTCCCAACATATCCACCATGCAGACGTAGTGATCCACACTCGGCTCCATCCCAAAATCTGCCCGGATGGAACCGAAGTGCCAAACGCCTGGCTTTACCATCCCTGCATGGCTGCATGCCGTAAGAATCGTCACAAAGGTGATCTCGTCCGGAAGAACCCCGTCAAGGCACGCAAGTTCAAAGAGCTGGAGCGCTCGCTTCGGATGACCGTGCTGCGTGTATCCCCCCATCATCGAGTTCCACGCTATCATATTCCTGGCTTTCATCCCGTCGAAGACTTCCCTTGCCTCGACCAAGCTCCCACATTTGCAGTACATGTTGACGATCGCACCAGCGAGTGGAAGTTCGTCTCCAAAACCAGCAGCTACAATCTCTTTGTGGACCTGACGCCCGACTTTGAGAGCGCTCAAGCTGGAGCAAGCTTCCAGGACGCAGAGATAGGCGACGGGATCCATTTTCTTGCTCTCTTCCCGCTGGATCATCTCCTGGTAGAGCTCCACCCCTGCCTTGGCCTGCTCGTTGCTCGTGTAAGCTGCTATCATCGAAGCCCAGGACACGGCATTCCTAGCCGAGCGTTGCAGAGAATCAAAAACTCGCCTAGCATCGCTCGGGCTCCCACATCTTCCATAAGTGTGGATCAAAGTATTCGCCACCACCAGCTTCTTGTCGAGCTCCAAGCCACCACTGGCAATAAACTCGTGGATCACCCGAACTTGGCTGCGATCGCCCAAGTTCGAGCAAGCTCCCAACACCGCCAAGCAGCTGATCTCGTTTGGAGCCACATTTTCCGAGACCATTTCCCAGAAGATCTCCACTGCCTCGTTCCACTCTCCGTGCTCCGAGAGAGCTGTGATCATCGTCGTCCAGGAAACCACGTCTCTGACCACCATCTCTTGGAAGGAAGCTCTTGCCTCGCGGAGAGCTCCACACTTGCTATACATGTTGACAAGAGCATTGCCAATCACCACGTCTTTCTTGGCAGCGATCACTCGGCCATGGATGGATCTCCCTCCAGCTAAATCCTTGATGCTGGCGCAAATCCCCAGCACAGCCGCGAGAGTCACCTCGTTCGCCTTGACACCCTCGCGTTCCATCTGCCGGAACAGCACTAGAGCCTCCCTGTGATGCCCATTCTGGGCAAATGCCGAGATTACGATCGTCCAGGAGAACACATTCTTCGCAGCAATGCGATCGAACGCTGCCCAGGCTTGATCCAGTCCCCCGAATTTCCCATAAACCCTTACCAGATTGTTCCCGAGATAGGTGTCGGCATCCAGCCCCTGCGCGATCATCAGAGAATGCAGCTCCTCCACCGCCGCGAGGCATCGCGCATTCCTTAGCTCGCGAGAAAAATCCTCCGCGATCGATCGATCGCGAGTAGCAGCTCCAGCTCCACGCTCTCGGGAAATTTCCTGCGAGCACGAAGACCTAATCTTACGGAGCAATGTGGTGGCGCCACGTCGCACCATCCACCAAACTGACGGCTGTGATATAAGGACGCATATGTAGCAAGATCGGACCGTTCAAACGTGAACGGCTGCGATAAGACCGTCCTTTAAACCCTTAACATTCAAAAGAGTTCCAATTCTTCTCGGAGAGGATCAAAGGGACAGGTCACCGCCCCCGCGATAGCCGCTCGATCGATCGATCCATCGATCCATCGATCCATCGCAATGGCGCACTATCCAATCCTCAATCTGGGCCTTCTTGGAAAGCTTAAAATCCATTTCATCCTCGCGCTCGTCCAGGTCGGCTACGCAGGATTCCAGCTCCTCACGAAGATCGCCTTCGAGCAAGGATTGAACAAGACGACCTATCCGGTCTATCGGAATGTCATCGGATTTGCGGTGATCCTCCCTTTTGCCGCCTTCTTGGAGAGGTAAATTTCACTCCTGCCAGGGTCAAATTCGTAAGATTTCGCGATTTTTGACAGGAAGGAGAGGCCGCAGCTCCGATTCACGCATTTGATCCATTTCTTCTTCCTGGGAAGCACAGCGTAAGCTCGATCTTGCTTGATCGAAATATTGTTGTTGGATTGGATCCATCCTCTCTCTTATGTGTTGTATGACAGCGTTGCTCTTGGCCAGGGATTGTTCCTTTATGGACTAGCCGACACAACTCCCACGTTTGCTTCCGCGTTCCAAAATTCCATCCCAGCTCTTACCTTCGTTATGGCAGCGATCTCCGGGTAAGCAACGAAAGATGATTGATCCAATCTATTCTTTTTCTTTCTTTGCTTGAACATCTCGCTTCTTCCAGCGTTGAAGACGCCAATCTATCGCGAAGAGATGGTCAGGCCAAGCTCTTCGGCGCAATCTGTGCAGGAGCTGGAGCTACCTTGATGACTGCTTACAAAGGCCCTCTTCTTTTCAACCATCTTCACCATAGCGCTGCCAACACAGAAGCAGCGAAATCGATCCAAGCAACACCGATTCTCACCTTGAGTGTCTGGCGACTGGGATCGCTTTACCTTCTTATTAGCTGCCTGGCATTCGGCGTGTTCTACGTACTACAGGTACGAGCTCATTCCTACACCTGTTTATCAATGCTTATTTTATTTCTTCTCCCAGGCCAGGACGCTCAGAATGTATCCAGCCAGATACTCGACAGTATGTTTCACCAATTTCTTTGGAGCGATTCAACTCTCGGTCTTCGCGGTGGCAAGCCAGCCATCGCTCTCGATCTGGAAGATCACCCCAGGAATTCAGCTCACGAGTGTTCTTTACGCGGTAACTTTATACCTTTCTCGATCATCTAGCGGAATCGAGCTTACAGAAACTATTCTTTCCAGGGATTTGTGGCATCGGGGCTAGTTTTCTCCGCTCAAGCGTGGTGTATGCAACAGGCAGGGCCCGTCATAGTGTCGGCGTATCAGCCTCTCCAGACAGTAGTGGTGGGATTCGTAGCGCTGGTTTTCCTGGGCGAGCCCTTTTACTTGGGGAGGTGAGTTGTCAATGCCAGCGGCATACGTCTGGTTTAAAGAATTTGTCACTGACTGGAAAACTTGCAACTTGCGCAGTTTGCTCGGCGCGATCCTCATCATTTGTGGACTATACATGGTGACCTGGGGCCAAGAACAGCAACAGGAGCACGTCACGCGATTGCAGCGTCGGCAGAGTGACATCGGTGAGAGTGATCCAAGCAAAATGGAGGAGGGCTCTTTGCTACACCGCCCACTGCTACACGACGAAGAGAAGCCGCAAGAGCAACGTAACAGCGGATCAATCTAGAGGACGAGACAAAGGAAACCACGCACGCCTCTCCAATCCTGTCATCGAACTATACGCGCAAGATCGTAGAAAGTTTATACAAATTCGATTGTAAGTTTTCCGGGAGCTTTACGTGATTCTTCCGTGAACTTCGGCCGGAAGAACAGGGAATGATATTGAATTACTTTCCAGGCACACCACTTTGTGCTTAGAGTTGGCGGCCCTACTGCAACCGGTTTCCAGTTGTCGAGCACACATCGTGCTTCAATATTGTGCTTCAACTTGTTGATTTGATGCGCTTCTGCCGACTTGACAGAATCGCCCAATACGATACGGGTCATATCTTCAAAAACCTCACGTTCTCCTCGCTAAAAGAAGCTGAAACGTATGCCTCAAACAATCTGCCAGCCTTGAGTTCAAGCCGCCAAGCGTCAAGCCCTCGTTTTCTTCGTGGCCGAGTGCTCTCTCAAACGCCTCGACATTTTACGCAAAGGATCGAGAACAAGAACGAGCAAAGGTGATGTTTACCTCGGAAAGCTTCCTGGTCAATTTCCACGTCAAAACTGTTGTTTTGTGGCCACCAAAGACGTACTTCGTTGAATGACGATGACTTTAATGAGGAGCTTGAGTTTGTGTACTCTACTTCAGACTCCCAGGAGTGTTCTGGCTGAAATTGTACAGTTGAAGATTATGAAACACGGTCGAAGAGATTTGCCATGTCTTTTCTCGTAGAAGAGCTCTACATTTCTACATTAAAGGTGAGAGGCACTTATCATTGATCAATTATACGCTAAACCCAATGTATATCTGACCTTTTGCTTTCAATCTGGAGGATGAGACAAAGAAAACCATCGCAAGAGAAGCAGGGACAAAAAAACCCTTTGACTTGGGGGAAAAAGAATTTCTTCTAATTTTGATTTTAAGACAGAGTTTTTGTTAATGGTTTCATGGTGTAGTTGGTCATCACGTCAGTCTAACACACTGAAGGTCTCCAGTTCGAACCTGGATGAAGCCAAATTATTTTTTTCTTTCAAAGATTTTGTGACAGTTATTTCTTTGTTTTATACCAGAACACTTTAGTGATTTCGCAAGATGTGAGTCTCAGGAATGAATGATATCAAATTACTTTGATTTGACGATTATTCCGTGAACTCCGGCGAGATCACCGGAAGAACACAGTGGCCGATCGCATTCTACCAGTGCCCAGCAGCTCCAATCGATCCTCGTACACATCCACGCGGCCAAACGAATTCTCCCCGGGCGGGCACTCGAGCACGGCCTCGAGGACGCGGTGATGAATCCCTTTCTCGTCCACTCCCTCGCCCCCATCGTGCTTGTGCCCAGCCAAGCTCGCCACCACGCAGCGATCGTAGCGATGGATCACGCGCAATACCTCCTCGGCATTCCACAGCAGCGTGTCGTCGTAGGTGGATTCGCGGAGAATTGGGATGTGGCAGGCGATGATCACTCGCTCGTTGCGATCCTCGGCCTCGCGGAGCTTCCGATCGAGCCACTGGAGCTGGGCATCGCCAATGCCGCCGTTGAAAGCCACGAATCGCTGCTGCTCGGGCGCCATTCCCAGGGGGCTGTTCTTGTCCACATTAGGGTTCTTGGCATCCAGTAGCGCCATAGCCAGCGAGGAGTGATCCCTCGATGATCCGCCCAGCACGCTCACATCGTAGCTATCCAGGACGATGAATCGAAATCCCGGGTGGGGGACGAAATCGTAGTAGAAGGATCCATCAATGCGGAGGATTTCCTGGAGCTGGCCGCGCGAGAGATTGTAGAGGCAGTGATTGCCGATGGTGTGGTAGACGTGGCCGTGCCGGAATCGATCGAATGCTGCCACGATCTCGCGCGCTGCCGCGGGAGCTTGATCGCGGGGGCAGCGCCCGTCGATGAGATCCCCGAGCTGGATGACGAAGGAGAGATCGCTGCCCTGATCGTTCCAGATCGCGATTGCCTCGTTGAGCGCGGCGAGGCTGCCGCGGTAGAATCGCGGCACGCCATGGAAGGAACGCCCGTCGGGAACGTCCGCGTACTGGACATCAGTGATCACTCCGAAAGAAAAGAGGGGCCGCGAGGAATGAAGATCTTTCATTGCCCACGAACCCTAGATCTAGCCCATTCCCCAAGAACCCTAAAATCAGAAGAGAACTAGAACTAGAACACAAAATCTCGATTGACAGTCTCCAGGCTTTGAATCAAACGATGGCATTGGCAGCGCTGGCGATTCGAGGCCACAAATCCGCGCATTCCTTGCCGATTGGGCCAGTGATGGCAGATCCTAGACAAGAACAAGCATCAAACTCTCATTCCAAAGCGCGAGAGGCGAAGAACTCCATACCTTTCATCTCGCCCTTGGGATTTACGATCACGCCCGCATTGTCTGGGTCAAACAGCCAAAGAACCATCAGTCTCTGGCAAGAACAAGAATCTAAGCATCCTCACCTTCGAAGTACATGAAAACTCCATCTTTCCTGCGATACGGCTTCCTCTGGCGGACGATCACCGCGGGCATGACCTTCTTCCGGAGATCCGGCTTGCCCTTCTTCACAGTGGCCATCACCATGTCGCCGATCGCCGCCGCCGGGAGCCGATTGAGCCTCCCCTTGACGCCCTTGACGGAGATGATGTAGAGATTCTTGGCCCCCGTGTTGTCGGCGCAATTCACCACCGCGCCCACGGGCAATCCCAGCGACATCCGGAACTTGTTGCCCGAGGCAGCACCTCTAGCTGTAGTGGCAATCGATCTATCAGCGCCATCGAGAGAAACAATGCTGTGAAATCTTACCGCGCTTCGACATCGCTCCGCCCTTCTTTCTGTCGCCGCCCAGAGTTTTAGGGTTTTCAAGATTTAGGGTTCTTAGGGTATTAGGGCTATCAAAACCGACGGTGGAGATCTGTTGCAAGCTTAAAAATGTAAAAAATGTACATCTGTAATGGTTAGGGTTAGGTTTAAATTTCCAGGGCGGCTAGGGTTTTAGGGTTGTGGGGAAGCCGCAAAGATGGGTACGTTCTTTCTCGCGATCTCGCTCTGGTTCGATCGATTTCCTTTGTTTCTCAGCAGGGAAGATCAAGGTGCACGAGCTGCGCACGAAATCTAAGCAGGACTTGCTCGTCCAGCTCAAGGAGCTCAAATCCGAGCTCGCTTTGCTGCGCGTGGCCAAAGTCACTGGAGGCGCCCCCAACAAGCTCTCCAAAATGTGAGATTTTCGAGTGTTCCCTCACGATTTTGATTTTCACTTCGGTGTTTCGTTTCTCCAGCAAGGTCGTGAGGCTCTCGATCGCGCGCGTTCTCACAGTAATCTCCCAAACCCAGAAGGCCAAGCTGAGAGAGGCCTACAAGAACAAGAAGTACATGCCTCTGGATCTTCGTCCCAAGAAGACCCGAGCGATCAGGCGACGCTTGACAAAACATCAGGTAAACAATTTTCCATTGTAGAGGTGGTGGCAGCTTTAAAACTTTCTTTCTTCGCAGCTTTCCCTCAAGACGGAGAAGCAAAAGAAGAAGGAGGCTTACTTCCCGATGAGAAAGTACGCTGTGAGGGCGTGAGGAGAGACGCAAGCAGCGTGAGATGGATCTTCTTTCTTGTTTTCGAACGCGCTAACTAATGCAAGAGGAAAATTTTTCTTTGCAGTGTCTTTGGCTTTGGTCATTTTAGATTGCTTTAGATGATTTATTAAGAACCGCAGTTTCTTTTTTTGCTACCACTCGGCCATAACGGCCGAAGAACACGGAGAAAATGATCTTAGAAGTTGCAAATATTCTCAAGAATATTCTTTATCTTTAGAATATTCATTAGAACGATCGCGAGATTCGTGAGCATGGTTGCAACCAACAATGTTTACGCTTGGATAAATTTGGGCTGGAAAGATTTTATACTCCTACTAAACGCGAGGCAAGAGAGGCGTAAATCTATCTATCCTATTGTAAAGTATAAATTGCTAGCGTGCGTGTGTGAGTGTCCGTCCCTGTGTCTCTGTGCTACAAGTGAATCACAGGCTCCAAGAACTTGTCCATCTTCCAGTTTGATGGATAGCTCGCGATCTGCGACTCGAGATGGAGATGCCACACCATGATCTTGGAGCAGCCGCTGGGAAGTCCTTCCATTTGATTCTCATCCTCCACGAGCTGCTCGATGAAAGTCGTCTCCTGATTTTTCCAGAGTGAAATGGTGTGAAGAAACGTTTCAAAGGATGATTTACCTGGAATCCTTCCTTGACAGTGTCGAGCTGACGAACTGGTTGCGTTGTTGGTCGCTTCCACCTCCTGGGATCCCAGAGAATGGTGCTGTTGAATCCAAACCCGGACATGTCGACGTGAAATCTTCGCAATCGCTTGCTCTTCTCGTTGGTGTGCCAGCCCGTCACCTTGTGGCCATCGCAAACGGGGCCCTCCAGGATGGTCTTGGATTTGCTGTGAGCCAGCATCGCCACTGGCCAAGTGCCAAATCTCCTGGAAAAAACCATCAAGAACACAGGAAAAAAGAGCTTTAGATCATGACAATAGAAGCAATGAAAGATAGAAACGTACTTGATCTCACGCAGTTGGTCGAAGAGTTCCAGCGAGTAGAAGTTGTCATCGTCCGCGAAGTAGACGATTCCATCCAGCTGATGCCTCTCGATATGCTGGAGCGCCAAGTTTCGTTGTTGGGTGCCTCGATCTTTGACGTTGGTGAGGTTTTTCTCGCAAGCCAAGTGCCTGTACATGACCCCAGTCTTCCTGAGGAGCGACGCGGTCTCCAAGGATTGCCCCGGCATCTCCACGACGATCCACAAGAGCGGCGGATCCACGAGCTTGAGAGTGTGCGCCAATCGCGTTAAATACATCGCCTGGAATGGCCGTGTATACGTTGGCGTGACGATGATGAGAAGCTTCTTTGGATCCTGGAGTGGCATTCTTCCCTCGCCCGGATGTCTCGAGGAATTCGCGGAGATTTCCAGCGGCGAGGACGAATCCAGAACCACAACCTGTTCTTCCGTCGCGATTCTCTTGGCGGCCGTGAAAGATTCTCGCGGCCGCTGCTGCTCGCGAGCGCCGCCGCCGCCGCTACTGAGAGGCGTGAGGCCGATTCCAAATCCCACGAAGAAGCACAGCACGAAGTGGAAGAAGGGCTTCCGTAATATCTGCATCCTGGCCTTGGATCTGTCCAGGCCTTGCCGCGCCGACGCCATCTTCATCCAAGACATCGCTCGGAATGCCCGGATCCCTAGCTCTGGCGCTCGATTTCTACGCTAGATCAATGCGGCTATTACCCGATTTGCGCGGCATCCGCGAAATGCTAGCGCTGTGCCGATCGCCGCAGCTACATTTGATGTCGCGATGGAAATGGCCGCTAACGAGGATCGATCGATCCAGCGATGCCCATTGTTGTTATTCCTTTAAGTTCTTTCGCGTGTTCTTGTTTGGGCCGTGGCCACTACTGACCAAATGCGACGTGACGTACGGCAGTGGCTATTTGGTAGCGGCGAATATGACAAGGCATCCGCCCGTCATCATATTTTAAAAGCGGCCACGTAGGAGAGAGAGGCGCCAAATTTTCTAGGGTTCTTATTCTAGGGCTCTTGGAGATTTCCCAGCTCTTCGCGCGGCACGACTTCCCGGTGAGATTTGCTCTCGATCCTAAGCATTTCCGGGCTATTCCAATGATTTTCTCGCTCGGCGCAATGTAGATTGATTCGCGATGCAGCAGCAGCAAATGGGAGGATTTAGGCCTCCGACGCTACCAGGTAGGCCGCCATTCTTGCCTGGAGCTCCTAGAGCTAGACCGCCTGGGCCGCCTCCAGCAGTGCCAGGAGGAGGATTTTTTCCTCCCCAACCAAGGCCTCCGCCTCCTCCGCCGCCGCCGCCACCGTTTAGATCTCCAGCTAGACCACCACCGCCGCCTCCTCCTCCTCCTCCTTCCAATTATCCTCCATGGAGTTCTCCTCCAGGGAGCTTTGGACAGTCTTTTGGACCTCCACGGCCACCGCCGCCGCCTCCGCCGCCGCCACCACCACCATCTTTCAGCTATGCAGCTCCACCACCTACGCCTTCTTCCACGAACTTTGGAGCTCCTCCCAGGGCCAGATCTCCTCCTCCTCCTCCACCGTATCATAGTCCTCCTCGAGGACAAATGCGACGAGAGTTTGATCCTCCTCCTCCTCCTCCTCCTCGACCTCCAGCCTTTTCGGATCTAGCAGCAGCCCAGCTCATGCTCTCCGAAGTCGACTCGCTCGACTCTTTCTCCCTGGCATCACTTGTTCTTCTCAGGCAACTCATTGACCAGCTCTTGATGTTTTATCAGGCGAGCGGGCCATCGAGATCCGAGATGGAGGAAACTTGCTGGCCCGACGAGGAGAGCAGCACTTCCTGGCCCAGGTCGCCGCCGCCTCCGCCTCTCTACAACGATGGAGCTTACTCGGATATGACCAGCGAGAGAAGTGGCAGTCCGGGATTTTACGACAGATACTATGACTACGACGACGAGGACTTTGCAATGCCACCGAGAAGGCCGCCGCCACCTTCACGACCAAGGCCGAGGTCTCGAGGAGATTACTACTATCCGGATGATGATCAGTGGGGAGGAGGGGGAAGTTACGGGCCGAGGCAGCCGCCAGCTCCAAGGTTTGTGGAACGCAGCAGGAGGCGAGGGGATGGTTACGGCGTGAACCCGAGCTTTTACAACGAAGGTGATGATTCCGATTCTATGTCAAGTCGAGATGCCTCTCCGTCTTCTCACCGGCGTCGTCGTCGACAACACAAAGATCGAAGCTTAAAGTTCAAAGTTAAAGACAGGTCCCGCTGGGTGCTGGATCCGGATGAGAGTGGCAGCATCGAGTTTAACAGTGGTGTTCGGACGCAGGTTTCTCAGAGCGATGACGATTCACGGCCGGCGAGTGTTTCTTTCTCGTACCGCCCGTTTGCTTTTCAGCGATTTTCCAGTCCTCGTCCACGGGAAGATTCAGCTTAAGCTTATAAAGCGCGGGGTATGTTTTATGATGTGTTTTATTCTTTCTTCTCACTTCATAACATTGCTTCATGAACTTTCAGATATCGTTAAGCAGCAAAGTCATTTTGGCATAGCAACAGTTCATCGAGAGCGGCCCTCGCCGTCTCAAACTCATAGCCCAGCAGTTTGGACCGGAATGTTTTAGCTGCCGGGGAGAGATCTTCCACAACATTCATCAGCTTGCCGACGTGATAAAGATCCGAGCGCTCAGTGTATTTGCCGTCCACTAGCGTGTGCTTGTCCCAAGCTAGCAGCTCTAGCAACTCACACTCGGGCTTCTCACCAGCCTCCCACACCGTCTCCAAGTCGATCAAAACGCAGCCACCAGTGCGAGCGTCTCTCATCACGTTCCTCCACTTCACATCCCGATGGACAAGCCCCGCTTCATGCAACTTCTCCAGGCCGCGAAGAATCCAGTGAACAGCATCGAGAAGTTCCACTTCGGTAGAAGTTCGCGGCTGATCCTGCAGTTCCTTCATGGTGACTCTGTACTTGTCCCCCTCGAACGCCAACACGCCAGAGATTAGACCTTCGGCCCGGAGTCCGTGCGCTCTCTTGACAAACTCCAGCGTCGTGAAGCCATCAGCGACATGCTCCGACCAGGGATCTATCTCTTTAATCACCACAGCGTTCCCGAAGCGGAGCGTTCTCTTGATCTGGTCCTCGGATCCATAGAACGTAGGCCAAAGCTTCATGAGCCGCGAACGGTCCGGAGGGAAGAAGACGTTCTCAAGCGAGACCGCAACCCGGAGGAGATTTACAGAGACGCGCAAGCACGTCAACTTGTCCTCGATCTTTGCAAGTTCCAGAGGCCCGACAAGAACTTCTGCTGGGCCCACGCCTCCATCCGCTGGCCTGCCAGTCCCACGCCGATCATCCACGGCACCAGGCCATAGAACTGCCGGTCCAGCTTGACGAGCTTCTCTTCCAACTTGGAGCACGCTTGCTGCAACTTCGGTTCCTTCTCTTCGAACATGGCACACAGGCGGTTTTGCATCCACAGCATCATATCCCGGCCACTGCTACTGTCCGACCGGACGCGATTGAACTCGACGATCGTTATCCAGCAAGCTCGAGTAGCCTTGTCCACAGGTGGGAGAATGCCAGATTCCAGCAAGGCTCGTGGAGGCTGTACGCGTCCAGCTTGTCGTTTGATCCGATGAAAGCTGTCGTGAGAGACGAGATGCTCTCCGCTGGGTACGAGCCGTGAGGAACAAAGTTGGCGGCCATGGCACCGGCGTGCTGCGCGTACGTTACAGAGCCAACAGGCAGCGGCAGTGGCAGCGGATGCCAGAGAGCTCTCCGCAAGCCGGCCACGTCCAAAACGGAGAACTGGAACGGCAGCAACACAGCCGCGGCCCACTCCTTGCTCCTGTCAAGCGCTGAAAAAGAAGTCACACAAGCAAGATCATAGCGATCAGCGCTGAAGAAGAAGTCACAAGCACACAAGCGAGATCACAGCGCTAAAAAAGAACACACGAGCAAAATCATAGCGATCATCATCGTACCAGCAGATCCAGTGAAGTAGAAGCAGTCTGTGTCGCCCGCCAGGCGCTCGGTCAGCTTCTCGGGCTCCAAATGCGTCCATTCTTTGCATTGTTGCCGACGTCCTGGTCGTTGGATCTGAGCATCTTCGGCGAGAGACGTGCCTGCGGCTACAGGCATGCACCTGGACGAAGGATGCTGCTTCAACGCCGTGTCAGTCGGAAACATGGATTCGGCTTCGTCGAGTACGCAGTAGAAGAGATAGCACAGACTCTCTTTCGCGCTTCATCACAGCTAACCTTAAAACCCTAAGCCCTAATACATCAATAAGAGCATTAAAGTTTAGTGCAAAACTAAGGAGGATTTATTAAATTTTGTCTTAACTTAAAAATTACATAAATATTTTTGTTGAAAAGGCAAAATGGGAAATAATGATCTTGAAATAGTATAGCTATATAGTCCTTTTCATGAAAGAGATAAAGGTTATAGTAATACATAGAATTACAAACAGTAAATTAAAATGTTATATAATAAAATTTGTTATTAATTTTTATTAACTTATGATTTTATATTAATTGTTAAAGAAAAAAATTTGCATAAATAACATAATTATTAATATTATATAGTAATGAATATTGTGCTATATATAATACTAACTACGAAGAGAAATAAATTTTATTGAAAGACTTTTATGAATCTTTAATTCTTCTAAGTTGGCTAGTGCACCAAATAAGTGTAAATGCTACTTGATTTTAATATATAATATTACTTGTTTAATTCCAAACAACACTAATGATGCAAACAGATGTTATTGAAAGTGTGATTTTTCCTTCATAACTAAAACTTCATATTATTTAATATTTATTGCATTTAACTTGTGAATAAATTATTTAAATAAATTTTAATAGTATTGTTAAAATTAATAAATTAAATACATTTTAAAATAATATTAGTCTCATTAAATTTATCAAATTATGAAATAATTTTAATAGCTATTTTATAAAATTAATAAACTAAATACATTTTAAAATAACATTAGCCCCATTAAATTTATCAAGATGTGTTATACTACTATCATCTTAGGTCACATATAGAATATAATTTTAGTAATATTATTGATATTAATATATTTATCAAAATTTTAATAGAAGTGATGTTTAATGAGTTTCCAAATTGAGTGTAACTTATGTAAAATTTTGTTAGTATAAGATAAAATTTCTAAACTATGAAAATTATTAATTTTTCAATACATATTTTTTAAGAAATCTTAGGTAATATAAGATTTATTAAATATTATTTATATATATATATATATATAAACCTTAATTATCTTATTTTACATTTAGCTAATTGTGTGTTACTATCATACTCAATCACAAATGTTTTGACCATTCTATCAATATCCAATCTAAGCTGGTCACAACCAAGTATTAAAGGACAAATATTGCATCTTGACTCCCTTATCATCAAACAACAGCAGTAACTTAGTAGCTACCAAAATATTGGACTTTACATGGAAGACACTGACTATCATAGCTTCACACTAAACACTTTTAAATGCGAGTGGCTTTGCTCGCGCTAACAGTTTCAGGCACTGGGATTTCCTCTAAATAGGGGAGCTCGACTCAGAATCCGGGAGAAGAATTGCTCCTAGTTAACTGCTAAAAGTTAACATTATTGTCAAGGCCAGTCTAAAATAATAATTTGTAGATAGTTTAAATCACTAATGAGCAAAATCTAGAAGAACGATTCATCTTCGTAGAAGCCTTAAAACTAAAAAGCATAAGCTTGGAAAGGAGCAAACATTGCTTGAAGTGATCTACCAAAACGCCTCCTTCTTGCTATGCGTGAAGCCTGCAGAGCTTGCAAACTCCACAACATCCAAGAGGGAACTTAAACACATCCCGGATGTTCGTGGGCAGATCTGGCACATCCTTGAAGATGGTATCTGTGGGAACAACAAAGCACCCATGCTCTTCCAGCCGAGGATACCCTCGGAGCTCTCCGCCATATCCAACACACGCCTGGAACCACATAGCTGACGCTCAAGCCAATCGTCTCCAGCTTCCCCTGACGTTTTCCTTTAGCTTGTCCTAAGACTCATTGTAGAACGCCACCTCCACAACGACGATGGGAATCTCCATGGATCTGCCCTTCCTCGTGTAGAGGACATTGTCCACCATCTTTTTCATGCCATTGGGGAGACTCAAGAGCCTGTTTGTCCAGTGGCAAACGGTCTTGATCGATGCGTGCACGCCGGTGTTGTCACCGCAGATGCTTACCACGCCTCCGCGAGGGTCATACTGTAACCCGTAGCGCCTCGTATTGTCACCATCCACTAACTTATCGTAACCACTCTAGATGCACAGTGAAAGGGGCCTTTCTTGTACAGATCCATGTAATCCCTGTCCTTAGAGTAGATTCTGTTATGTGCAACATTACAAGCTCTCACTCTAGCTTGTTCATGGTGGTAGAACCCTAACTTAAGAATTGTAAAGATGTCTATAGCATAATATCCTCATTTTCACAATGCAATTCTCATGGAAACATGGCCGCATGATTTCTTGGCCAGCGCCAGCAGCAAGCAGCAGTGCGTGTGCCTCAATTTTCCGTTACGATCAATCAATCAATCACACGCTCATCTCAACGCCGCCAAGAACACGCTTGAAAGTCGTGAAAAAGGGTCACTCTGTTTGAATCTATCCTCAGCAGCAGCAGCAGTAGTAGCAGTAGCAGCAGCAGCCGCGTGACTGACAACGAAAGAAATTATATAAAAAAAAAAAAAACTCTTTTTCTCACAAAGCAAACTTTAGCTTCGATCATCAGCGTAAGCTATTGCTCAAAACTTTAAAAAACTCGCGAGCGTGGCCCCGGATTTTTTTTTTCTTTCTTTTTCGCTACAATCAACTCGTCAATCAAAATCACCTCCGTGCGTTCATGGAATTGTGTTCTCTGCAGCGCCGCGTACGTACATTCCCTTGTTTTTCTATTCCTGCTGTTCTTGCCTGCTCGCCCCCCTTTAAAAACTTCTCTCGGCCTTTTTTTTCTCCTCCTCCTCCAATCCATCCATCCATCCCAGACCAGAAAACTCAAACACTGCCAGCAGCTCCACCAGTGGCCACAGTGCCTTGCTCCAGAGTTTTCAGTGCCAGTGCCGCGGAATCCAGGGACACATCGCATTTACGCCGAGATTTTTCAGTTATTGCTGGCAAATCTTTCCGAGAAGACGATCGGCAACACGACGAGCGATGCATGAAAATATCGAGCGCGCGGAGCTTGTGCTGTTTCTTCTTCGTCTTCTCGGCTTTTCCTGGGAAGCAAACAAACATCAAAAGGCACGCTTTAGTAAAAACCTTCCACGAGACACGAGAGAGATCATAAGAATAAGAAATCAGAAAAGCTCACCAGGAGTGTGGTGAAGAAGAAGAAAAAAAAACAAAAATTCTTTTTTCGCTGCTTACCATCGAATCGATCGGAGGGAGCAGCAGCAGCGTCGACGAGATTCGAGAGATTGATTCTGTTTGAGCCGGACGAAGATCGCGATTCCACGGGCACGACGGCCACGCTGCAGTGACTTCCATGCTCCCCCTGTCGTTTCCGACGTTTTGGATGCTTGCCTGGCTCGCAAATGGCACGTAAATTCAAGCGCTCCGCCCTTACGTCTCCTTCCTTTCACGGGAGAGAGTGTGAGGCAGCTTTTGCGTTGGGACGATGAGACAAGTCCGTGATCGAGCGAGGTACTGCCACCACCAATCGTGTCCGCCGCCTGGGATATTTCCATGCTTTCCAGAAGAGAACCTGTGGAAGAAATTCAAGCGTGTCATAGCAATCCGGTTCCACTTTTAAAAAACCGCGGAAAAAAACAAGCACAGGAAAAACTTTTAAGTTGGCTATACACGTAGTACCTTTGAAAATCCTTCTTTCTCGGCCGCTTAGGAGAACGTTGGTCGCTCTTAATCTCGTCCCTCCCATGTCATCTTGTCGCTGTGCTGGGCCGATAAAAAGCTATTCAAGCGGCAGCGTTTGAATAATGCAAAGCTAAAGGACAAGGCTGTGTACCTCGACACGCAGCAGCACTGAAGTTACAAGCCCAACAATCTGCTTGGAGCTGTTAATTTGTCAATTCCGAGCATATCTCTTTCTTGGCACATCTCTTTCCCTGCCTGCATGCACAAACAAACACATAATCGTCTCCAAAGGCATCATCCAATCCAAGCTTTCTGAGACACGAAGAGCATCAAAAGCTTCGAATACTTACACATGAAATGCATATTTCGTTGTCTTCTGTAGTGTCAATGCCGGGGAGGCCGACGACTCCTCCATCACAGCGGTCTGGCTGCACACTTACTATACGCAGTCATGGAACTTTTATTAGTTTTTCAACCAACATTCCTGTAGAGAAGGCGATGGCTTACGTTTTAAACACCGGTGTGCTCTCAAGTGTGCTCTCGCTGTTGCGTACAGCATATGATAAGTGACGACGTCTATCACATACAAAGGATGAATATTTATGTCAAAACACAGCACCAACTTAGAGAAACTTACCCCTCAAAGATTAAAAAGGATCTCCGCCGCGGGACAGCAACAAAAGCTGCTGCAGCTAAATAATGTGGTGATGGCTCGACTGCAAATCTCACAGGACAATTCGTTGGTTGGAGGAAACAGACCTGCAGCTGCAGGCATTGATCAATCAAGGGAGAAAAAGGAACAAAATGAAAACAGAGAAAGATAAAAAAAGAGAGTCTTTGGAACCTGAAAACAAAACCAAACGAAGCCAGAGAGTGAGCGAGCGATGAGATGAGAGCACGAGCACATAAGTGTGCGTCTAGGAAACAAAAAAGCTTCTCATCTTACTTGTCCGTGGTCCTTAGCAATACTTCCTCCCTTTTTTCCTTCCTCATCTTTTCTTTCTCTGTGGCTAGAGCGAGCTTCGATTTCTCGTACAGTGGGGTCTTCCTTGGTTCACTTTGAGCGAGCAACTTCCACATGGAACGCTTGCATCATGCTGGATTGCCAAGGAACACTCACGTACGTCAGTCCACCACCATAGAAGAAGAAAAAAGAAACGAGAAGCGAGCCACAACAAGAGACAAGACCAACCAGTACTCAATAAAAAAAACAAAGAGAAAAAAGAAAGAAAGATAAAAAGAGAGAAAGACAATACATTTTCAACACTCTTTTTGGTACTTACAGCAAACCAACAAGAACAAAGAAAAAATGCTATAGGCTTCTTACTCACAGGTAAAGAAGCCATGCCATGGTCCCCTCCTAAAACATAGAGTTTCCACCTATAGATGGCACCACTCTTTCTTCCTCCAGCGATGCCTTTCTATCTAGAAAAAAACCCCACCACCATCAGATGTAGGAGATCCCAATTCCTGCCTGGAAAACAAATGACGAACCTTTTCTACCTTTTCCTCAGCTCGCTCGGGATTGCTTGCAGTAAGCGATCGCCCCTTGCACATCGTGATCATTCGCGACTGGAGCCGGGACCGCGAGGAGCACGCCACTGTGTGTCGGTGAAGCTATCGGAGTGACAGTGGTCGATCTGCTGGGCCTTTGCCTGGTCCCCTTGAAACCCCCGGATGAGAAAAACAATGAAGAAGTGGAAGATTTGTCGGACAAAGAGGGGGATCCTCCGCCGCCGCCAAGACCATCAACTGGAAGTGGAACTTCTGGCGGCCTAATATACGACCTGTGATGCTGCGACGTCCTGGAGATGAAAGGCTTCAAGTACTTTCGCCAGAATTCTTTAGCCCTCAAAAGACTTTGATACGCCGCCGCTGGTTTGTTGGTGGGCGCGTCAAACCCACCCGAGGAGATCGCTCCAGTGCTGTGGCGCGGCATAAAAAACTTGTCCCGGCTCCTGGTTTCGTGAAGACCGGCATGGGGCGAGCTCGAGAATGTGTCAAACCTTTTTCTCTCCCACGTAGAAAAGTCCCGGGCCTCGGTCATGGACTTTCCCTGCCTCTGCCCACACGACTTGCAAACGCTGCTACCACCACCACCACCACCTTGCTGATCGCAGCCAGTGGAAAAGGAGGAGGAATTCTTTCCCCCGGCCGTGACTTTGGAGCTCCTTCTCTGGCCGCCACCGCCACCGCCACCAAGCGAAAGAAGGCTCCATCTAAAACGACCACTTACACTCTCGCCGCCGCCCGTGTTGGAGTTCTTCGCTACTGCCGCTTGCCCGGACGATGACGATGACGAATCCTCCTCGCCGCCGGACGAGGAGGAGTCCTTCTCGCGAGAATTCCTGGAGCTCTCCCTGCTGCTCTCGTCACTCGGCTCCTCCAGGACCATGTTGATGTCGACGCCGGCGCGGTGGAGGTAGCAGGAGACCGCGATTGAGGAGTGATCGCTGCTGCTCGGCGGCTTGGATTTCTCCAAATCCGCGCCTACATTCTTGGAGAGATGGAGGCGCTCTGACATATAGAGAGGGAGGAGCTTGCCCTTGTAGAACAATTCGTCGGCCGGGGAGATGAGAGTGCTCCGCAAGGAAGAGGAAGAGGCCGGATCTTGGAGGAGATCCGGAGTCGACATGCACAGCTTGAAATCGAAATCCTTGGAATCGGAGGAGGATTTCGATGGCCGGTGGCCCGCTGACGATGCCCGGTGGTGGAAATCCTGCCCGCCGAGAGGGAGAGCCAGATCGAAATCGAACAAGGAGCTTGGATCTGCCATATCGTCGTCTTGATCGAAGGAAAAGGCGGATGGAAATTCCGCCGCTGCCGCATTCCCCCTCCCGATCGATATTCTCGCCATTAATGCTCCGCAAGCTAGAATCACGCTCGATCTTTCGAGATTCCAGAAAAAAGCGATCGATCGATCGCCGAATAACCCCTGTGCTGCTCGAAAGATTCAAGAAATCTTTGATTCATCCAAGGATTTCTAGACGATCATCGGAATCATCGTGGCGCCTAGGGATACGCAAGAGGAGCATCATCAAAAAATCAAAGGCCCTGGCGATGGCGCTTTCTTCAAACTCTTCCCTCACCTCTAGGGCTTTTACTTAACTCCGCCATTAAAAAAAGAAACCCATGGATGGAAATGGCATACATCTGAGCGCCGGGATTGAGCCACGTCAGTGCGGCCTTTTCACCCTTCATTCAAAAAGATTCGGCATATTCGCTAGGGGTTTGTGTTTTTTAGGGTTCTTGAGAGCATTGGCGCAAGATGGGTATGTTCTTCGATCGCTCGTTCTCGCACTGGTTCGATCGATTTCCTTGTCTCTCGTGCAGTGAAGATCAAGGTGCACGAGCTGCGCACGAAATCGAAGCAGGATTTGCTCGTCCAGCTCAAGGATCTCAAATCCGAGCTCGCTTTGCTGCGCGTGGCCAAAGTCACTGGAGGCGCCCCTAATAAGCTCTCCAAAATGTGAGTCTTTCGAGTGTTTTGTCGCGATTCTTTCCAGCGGATTATAATTTCGGTGTTTCCAGCAAGGTTGTGAGGCTCTCGATCGCGCGAGTTCTCACAGTAATCTCCCAGACCCAGAAGGCCAAGCTGAGAGAGGCGTACAAGAACAAGAAGTACATGCCTCTGGATCTTCGTCCAAAGAAGACCCGAGCGATCAGGCGACGCTTGACAAAGCATCAGGTAAACAATTTAGAATCTAGAGGTGGTGGAAGCTCTAAAACTTTCTCGCTTGTGTTTCTTCGCAGCTTTCCCTCAAGACGGAGAAGCAAAAGAAGAAGGAGGCTTACTTCCCGATGAGAAAGTACGCTGTGAGGGCGTGAGAGGAGACGCAATCAGCGTGAGATGGAAGTTTTTTTTTCTTTTGCTTTCGAACACTTCAGCTAATGCCATAGCCAGAGAATATTTTCTTCCGAGCTGTTTCATGCTAGAGGTTGCCTTGGATGCAGCGTCTCAGTTCTCGTGCTGTGGTGTAGAGGATCGGGACCCGTTGGAACGAGCCTTTTGGATTCGGATGGAACTGCTGGAGGCGCCAGTTCTAGAAGCTCCAGCGTCCTCCTAGCTGACAAGTTCTGATCACAAAAGGCAAGGAGAAGTTTCGTTTTGTTTATCTCGCTCTGAAACTTACTCGGATATGGTTTCTTCCAGATAGCGATGCAGCAGTCTTTGGTAGTAGCCTCTTCTCGACGCTAAGAAGTTTTTCTCGGTTTCTAGACCGCGCTTGCAAGTGTTGTTTTCCAGATTGCGCTCCACCGATCCTCGTTAAGCTCTGCTCAATGGTAAGTATGTTAGCTTCCTCGTCAATTTCTATCACTCACTTGGAGCTGGTTTCTTTCTCTCGCAGCATCCGCTGATCCTAAAACTCAAGTGAGGTGACAAGATCTCTACACAGGTTACGTACCTCGCAACGCAGCAGAGATGGCGACCAAGATCGCCAGCGCTCTCAACATGTTTGCCACTGAAACTTCCGCGAGAAACTTTAGGAGCTGGAGCTTTTTATCGAGGATCCTCGTGGCTGTACGAGGCGAAACATCATAGGAGTGTGCCGGGAGTGGCGCAACCCAGACCCAACACGCATGGCTGCCGGGGTGATTGCTCGGCTTCCAAGCGAAGAACACGCAGCTCCTCGTAATGGAATGGATCGCTGGTTGGTGCTCTCCATCAAACCCGAGCATTCGACACGATGAAGATTCTTGCTGGTGACATCATGGTGAAAGAATGATCTCAAGAACACCAGCACGAGCAAAACCATAGCTTTCGATGTACTTTGTTCTTGTCCCACTCTTGGCCCGACATTCCCGTAAAATGTTATCCTATACGAATATACATTCTACATTTTATGTGATACGCTACCTAAAATGTAGCGTAAGATACAATAATCCGTTTCTATATGTTAAAGCTCGAGAGATTGAAAGGCTAACCTAGGTTTCTAATGGATTGTGCGATGGAAGTGACGATGGCGTGCGAGGGAATGGAGATCGATGACGCGGACGTGGAGATGGCGGAGGTGACGAGGAAGAGCTGCCCTAGAGCGCTGCCCACCTTCTATGTTCCCAGGCAGCACAGGGAGAGACACTATTCCGTGGAGGAGAGTCTCAAGGTGGCTAGGGTTGATCGATTCAAGGCCGCCACAACCCACAAGGTGGCCAAACTGGCTAACAACATCAACTTGGCGATGATCCGGGCGTGCTAGCGAGTTGGATTTCTTAGAACTTGGATCAAAGTTCATCAGAAGCTCGCTGATCGAAAGCGCGGCCAAGATATGTGTATTTTTTGTAGCAAAACAAGTATGAATGTGATCTTCCTCCGGGATCTTCACATAGAAGGTACTAAGTTTATTAAAATCTAAATATTATATAAAATTTGCGTCAGCAGCAGGATTCGAACCTGCGAGGGTGTAACCCAACAGATTTCAAGTCTGTCTCCTTAACCACTCGGACATACTGACTTCTTACAAAAACAAATCTATAAATTATGTTAATAAGCTAGCACATCCAACGGCTCTCATTGTCTTTATATTAATCACGGGTTTATTAATTATAAACATATTTTAATTTTAACTGGGCTTGCAACGAGTAAATATTCGCATCTGGTAACTTATAAAAAGTGTCATTGGACAGAGATGCCAATTCTCGCCTCTAAGCGAGGCATACATTTCTCGTGTTTGGGCGCTGAATCATCGATCCATCGGGGAAGCGGCGGCCCAGCGATGGCAGCAATCCATCCATCGCCCACGCCGCAATGCCACCCCGCCACGAGGAGCTGTGCGCGATGGCGCCGGTAAGCAGGTATCGCCATCGCTAGGGCAACGGCGAGAAAGTCTCCGCGGTTCGTCTTCTTGTTCCTCTTCTAGGTCTGGTCCATCGCAGCGCCAAGCGATGGTGATCGGCTACATTGCCAGTTTCTTGCTGGGAGCTCTGGCTCTAGGGGTTGTGGAGATTGCGGTTCTGTGGTACTTGTTCGTCCACAAGCCCCGCCATCGCCACAAAGCGGCAGCGGCGATTCTACCGTCCTTCTCCATGGAAGCCGATCCAAATTCTCCATCGAAAATCTCCATCGAGGTGAGTGAGGAGTTTCCTTTCGCTCGAAATAAAAATCAGAACGAAACGATGGGGTTTTTTTTTCTTGTTCCAGGGAGAAATTTGGGTGGCTTCTGTGTCTCCTTTTCAAGTAGAGAATGCGAACAGCTCCAAGTTGCTACCCAAAGATCGAAAGCAAAAGAAGGCAACCGAGCAGAAAAACGAGATCTCCGTTTCACTCAAGTTTGCCAAGTTGCAAGATCGGACCTTGATTCTCACCGGCAGCGATGGTGCGGTTTCTTCCATCCAGTTGCAAGGATGCAGTGTCCTGGCCGTGTCAAGCACAGCAGCAGAAACGAGGAAGTGGTACGTGTTTTTTATTTCCATCTTCGTAGACTTCTGAGGTCTGGGCATTCTATATTGTTTTTCTCTTTGTGCTCTTTGGTCCATGCTTGCTCTAGCGTTTTCTATCCAGAATTTTCACTCTTTTTCTCTTCCAATTCTTGCAGGGCCAAGAAATATCCTATCAAAGTGGAGCACTCCAGTCGAACTCTCCTGGGAACCACGGTATGCTTGCTCTACTTCAAAACGGGATGGGAGAAAGAAACATGGTGTGAGGCGCTTCGTGCAGCTGCAAGGAAAGACTACGGGCCAGACGACTGGTACTCTAAGCTCAAGCATGAGTTTGCGGAATACGTGACTGGCCTCAAAAAAAACTATCCAGAGGTTTTCAAGGCCGGCTCTAGCAGCAGCAAGAACTTCAGAGGGAGTGCTCCCGCGACGAAGAAATCCATGTCGTGGAAACGACTGCTAAAGAAGAAAAAAGTCGACGGTGCAAGGACCAAAGCCGTGACCGTCCAGACCGAAGATTTGAAGCCCGAGGAGCCTTTTCTTCATACTAGCAACAGCTACCAGGAAATCGACCAAGCAAAGGGAGAGTCGGACGCGAACCATTCAGATAGTACGATGGAAGGCTCGTCGTTCAGAAATCTGGCAGACGCTACGGAGTTTGGAAGTGCCGAGTTCGACGTGCTCCCTGCGAAACATCTCCCCGACAGCAGTGTTGCTGCGCTGAATCTCATGCTCTCGCGGCTCTTCTTCGACTTGTACCACAGCTCGGACTTCATCTCCGTTTTTCATACTCGGATCCAGGTTCACCTCTTATACGATAACACTTTTCTGTCACGGAAGGAGATGTTTTTGACCACTGGTGTTGCAGACGCTCTTGTCGAGAATTCCAACTCCTAGCTACATCAGCCCGATCACTTGCTCTCGGGTTGATATTGGCAAATCTTGCCCGGTCGTGCACGGGCTCCGAGCTCTTCCCCTCTCGGACGACACTTTTGGAGTGGAAGCCGATATTGAGTATACCGGTGGTGCCGTTCTCACTCTCGAGACGAGGCTGGACATGAGAGAGTCTCGAGTTGGAGTTGAACCGAAAAACGACACAAGCTCGGCAGCGGCAGCGACCGCTGACATTATAAACAAAAGCTTGGAAACCGTGGAGGATGATTTGGAGGTGGCTGGAGAAGGTTCGGGAGATCAGGGGGGCTCAGGTAAGAAGAAAATCGTTTTCCTCTTCTCCTTGCTAAGAAGAGCAAGCTTTGATGTTGGGTGATCCAGGCAGCGCGAAAAGAAAGCGATGGAGTCAATGGAAGGCTTTCTTGTCTTCGGTCGCTGATCAAGTTTCCCAGGTACAGAGAGATGGATTTTCTGGAAAACTTTGGCTTAGATATCTCGTATGCTCTTCTCAGGTTCCACTCACTTTGTCGATGCGAGTAGTGTCAATCAAGGGAACCTTACAGCTCCGAATAAAGGCATCGCCATCCGACCGCATCTGGTACTCCTTCTCATCAATGCCGGCACTAGAGCTCTTCCCCGAGCCTTCCGTTGGGGACCATAAGATCACGACAGGGCCACTGATAACTTACATCGCCGAACGAATCCAGGTTCCTCTTTTTGTTTCTTTTATTTCCATTACCATCAAGCTGAGTGATCGAGCCACTCGTTTGCAGATTCTCGTGCACGAAACTATGGTGTATCCAAACAGCGAAGATATCCACATTCGCTGGATGGTTTCGGACGACGGGAACTGGGTCCAGCAAAGTGCTGCTCCGTTTCCTCAAAATCTAGCCGAGACAAAGCCGCCAGAGAAGCCGAGAGAAGGAAGCAATCACAGGAACGAAGCTTCTCCTCCGGAAGTAAAGGACGAGCACGAAAGGTTGATCACTGGCGAAAGTAGCGGTGGCACGTCCGAGCTGGAGAAACCATTGCTGGACAGGAAGATCGAGCGGGATCATCGAGCCGCCAGGGAAGTAGCAGGAGCGATGATGGAAGGCAGTGGCGATTTCCAAGGAGCGATCGACGAGGATTCCAGCGAGAGCAAGAGGAAGAAAGGGACGAGGCGCGAGAAAATGCTGAGCTTGGGCAAGAAATTCGAGGAGAAAACTCGGCTCTTCGCGGAGAAAATGCGGGAGCGATTCGACAAAGAATCGTAGATTTTCCATGTTAGTGGTTTAGTTTAATTAAATTTGATTAACTATAGCCCTTCATTTTTAAAAGTTCCCGCCAATATTGCCCTAAAAATCGGACAAGGCGAGGATGCTGTTTGGCAATGTGGGCGAAGGTAAAGCTATGGTGGTTTCGATCGCGCTGTTTTATCGAGCTAAAATCTATCTTCTCCTCTCTTTCTTATTGACAGAAGAGGCCACGGGAAGATCCATCCAATGCCGATCGCGATCGTGAGTCTCTAGGTCGAAATCTCTTTTTTGATCCAGATGAAGAAGCATTGCCCGGATCCTATTCCAATGCGCTGATCGGCGATCGTGTGAAGAACACCGTATTCCAGGCGCGAGAGAGAACACTAGACAAAGTTCTCAGCGATCTGGCATGGAATGGGCAGAGAGAGCTCATCCCGGCGATTCCCTTGTGCCGGCTAGCGCAAACCCATCTCGTCCGCCGCGCCAGCCAGGTAAACTCCGAGCTCTACACCGCCTTCGCCAACCTGGGCTTCGTCGCGAGCGCTGGAAGCTCCAGCTTCATCGTCTCACCGTTTGCTCCCGGGGCGACGAGGATGGAGGCGGTGACTAGCGCCGCCAGAGACTCGTGGGACGAGATCTGGCGGAGGAAATCGGCGGCTTTCGACCGAGCTTTGGATCAACACCCCGGGACGAAGCATCTGGTTGGAAAGATGTTCTTCGTGGTGGATGGAAACCACCGGTTGCTGGCGTGGATGAAGTGTATCCAGGATCGTTTCTCGGGTGATCTCGAGCGGCATATCGAGGTCCCGGTGGTGATGATCGCTGCCAGAGACGAGAAAGAGCTGCTCAAGCTCAAGAGTGCCTGCCACAAACTCAACGAGTAAGTAGTTTGCTTCTTCTTTTCATTGTTCTTGAGCTTCTTTTCTCTCTTTTTTCCTCACCACTTTGCTAACTCTTGAGCTTTCTATCCACCAGATTGAGCCAGTTTGCGTTTCAAGCTCATACGCTCGTCCATGAGATCGAGTACTTGCGATTCCTGGGCCTGATGACGATCGACCAAGTTCACGCTTTGTATGGAAGAGAATGGATGGAAGATGTTCGCGGGAAGCTTCAACGTGGTCGTAAAGAGACATGGTACACCATGCCTTTCGATTTCATACACACGGCTTGGGCAAGAGTAAGTAAAATTTATGTGGGTTCATAGCTCTAAACTAAAGTGTTCTACTTTTTGTGATTCAACAGCCGATGATCAAGGCGGAGCAAGATTTCTATCTTCGAAGAAACTCTGACAGGGACGCCGAGACGAAGAAGCTTGAGTTACTGAAAATCCAGCACCGAGTACGAAGTACTAAGAGAACCAAGCTGTTGAAACTCCTCAACATCGCAGATGTCAATCGCAACCAAGACTGGCTCGATTGTATTGCCGAGATGTGTGCTCGTGGAAGTGAGTCTTCTCATATTTTTCTTTTCTTACAATTTTTTTGTTGCTGTGTAGGGAATGCCAAGGCACCAGAGGAGATCATCTATAACATCGCAAAGAGCAACCTTAGCCTCGAAGATCAAACCTCTTGCCTCCAGCATCTCAACGAGCTGATGATCCAAAACGAGAGCTCTCTCTCGAGCAAAATCGAGAGTTTCATGAGGCACAAAGTCTACATCGATCAGACAATCAAGCATGGAGAGGAGCTTCTGGCCTCGTGGAAACATTATCTTTACTCGGCGGCCACAGGAGTAAGTTTCGCGGAGTACGTCCGTGAGTCTTTAGAGCTCTTGGGCGATGGATGGTTACCGGAAAATTCATCGAGTTCTTCGAAGAATCAACCTGGACAACCTTTCTTCGCGAAACGAGCTGTTTACAGGTAGAAGTTTCTTCTGTTTTTTCTTCGAAGGACACAAACACGCTTTCTATATCTCACAGGTATCTTACGAACTCGGGTGATGCACCAGCGTACTCCGAGGCAGTGCTTGAGCAGCTCTTCGCGGGATCACAGCAAAACTCCGGGATGTATGAGTCGGGATTCGACTTTGGCTTGCCAGGAGAGAAAGTTTTGTGTCCCTGGTATCTAGAGCTTCCTGCGAAGAGGCCAAAAACAGATTTCGAGGCAGAAATCTACCAACGTTTCCATCCAGGTAATCGGTGGCATTTGAGATAAATTAAAAAGTTTTGGAATGGTTTCTAGATTCGACTGGATCTTCGAGAATTCGAAAACAGAAAAAATGTCGTCCCAAATCTCGTGACCTTGGCACAGGTACGTAACTTACACAGATTTTCTTATTTTCTAATTCCCTTGATAAGTAGGATTGGAGGTAAACAAGAGAACCCAAGCTTTCATACACTTCTCTAGAACTTCACACAGGATGGTTAGTTCTTCGTTTATGTCCTCTCTTTGTTTTTCATTCTTGGAGTGCCAGGTTCATCCAAGTTCTCGTGAAAACCCACTCGCAAAATTTACCGTCTTGATAGGAGATTACATGAAGCTCTTGGAAGCTCATTCCTTCGAGACTCGAGCATTTAGACGCTGGATCGGAGATTTGAGAGGAGGAAACGATCCCATTCTGGCGAACTACTTCATGCTCTTCGATGGCCTCCATTGCAATCTGGTGGACTTCGTGTTCTTCGACATGCCCGACGGCCTCCCTTGGATCGATGGAAGAATCTCTCCATGGAACGTTCTCACCAGCGAGCATATCTCCAAGGCCATGGAGGTGGCAAACGAGCTGCTCAAAGACTCCGGCACGGTTCTTTTCATTCTTCCACCATCTTCGACCTGGGCAGGAGAGCTTGCAACTGTGGCGAAATCGTTTCGATTTGCGGAGTTTGCGACTGGCTGCCTCGTGAACAACATCGGCATCGAGACTTTACAAGGTGATGGTCACAAGCTGAAGGTACAGAGCAACAAAGAAAGTTGATAAGTTCATGGATTTCACACTTGAAAATGCAGGTATTTGCCTGGACTTACTTCGCGTTTTGCCGAGCTGGGCGAACGGGAAAACGAGATTGCGATCGCGCTGCCAGAGTTTTGCCTGGATATGACAGCGGCACGGACGTTATACCAAATGTGGTTGATGAGTTCAAGGCCGAGCTGTATCCTGGATATCGTTACCGGTCACCGTTTGCGATGCAAGTAATGTTAGAGCTCTTTTGCCCGCCGGATGGAGCAGTGGTTGATGCTACTGCGGGTTGCGGATCCATGGTTCGAGCAGCATGGAATTCCGGGCGCTCGGTTCTTGCGATTGAAGTTGATCCCCGGTTTGAACATCTGCTCCGCCGCATCCGGTTTGAACGTCTGTTCCCGCATGGAATCAGCTAAGTGAAAGTTTTTCGTTGCTTGATCCTGAGTTTGATCGTGTTCTTTAAGCTCTTTTATTTTGAAATGAAATATTATTACCTTTTTCGCTTGATCCTGGATTTGATCATGTTCTTGAGCTGTTTCTCATTCAAGCTTTGCTAACTTCTGAGTAACTGTGTATGTCAAGTTTAAGCCATTACACCTATGTTTCAAATTGTCTCACTGCGACACAGCTACCACTTTCAGAGAAATGATCAATGGAGCATCGAAAACTCTGGACAAACCCAAAAGAATAGAACCTCAAGATGATGAACATTTGAGATGCGATGGAGGAGGTGTTCTAACGGATGTTTTACTTAACGGGATAGCAGCTACAGAGTTTCCTGAAAACGAAAAAGAAAAACCGGAATCAAGAAAGAGGTCAGGCAAAGGAAGGAAGAGATTGTAAGTATACCTGTTCGCTTGTGAGTCGTCTAAGAAGTTTGTAGGCTCTTTTCGATTCGTCCCACCTTAGTCGAAAGGTCTGTTGCTGATTTCGTGGAGTCTTTGCCCAGTTTCTTCAATTCTGCCTCAAGCTTTTTGATCTTGGCATCTTGCTCTTTGACGGTAATTGCCAGTGACTTCACATCCGCAGCGCTGATCCTTTCCGTCAAAGACATGGACTGTTACAGTGGACAAAAGTAGAAGATCCGTCAGTCTCCGTAAAAGAAACTGCAGCATACATAAACACATAAACAAAGAAAGCATTGTCCAGCAAGCAAGCTCGCTCGCGAGCAAGAAAAGAAACATGTAGAAACTAGAAAAATAAAGCAAAAGCTATGACCTCGTCACCGGAAGAAGCAAAACACGAAAACAAAAGAAGAAGTAGAAACCATCTCGATCACGAAACTAAAGAGAGAAAAGATCATGCAAGCAAGATCTAAGAAGAAAAACGACGAAAAATAAGTGAAGAGAGCCGAAACCAAAGATCAAGCATGACAACCATCTAAGAAAAAAAGCATGAACAAAGTAGAGTACCTTTTCAAGGATGGAGAGACGCTGCACTAGACTGTCCGATCCAAGCCGGTGCCTCTCCAGCGATTCCAGCACGAAGAGGAGATGCGTGGTTTGCATGCTGCTGTGGTGCTGCTCGAGAGCTCCTTGCGGAAGAACATGCGAGCATCCAGCGCTGGAAAAGGGGCAGCTCACCATCTTCATGGAGCAAACGGTGGAGCAGTGCCGCTCCATCTCCATCCTCGCCACTCCATCTCCACACCCTTGCTCGCAATCCAACACCTTGAACGGGCACTCTCGATCGTGGCTGGCGGCATCCATCGCCGAGAAGATCTCTCCACACCCATCGTTCTCGCAGGCCAGCGGACGAAACCGGCAATCCTTCTTGTGGGCTGCTAGAGCTTCCAGAGAATCCACCCTCTCGCGGCAGTGGCTGGACTGGCGATGGTGATCCACCCTGGCCAGCAGCGATCTCGCGAAGCTCTCGCACTGCCCAAGATCCCACGCGCCGCCGCCCCGCTGGAGATCACCTAGAATTTCATCGAGCTTGCCTTCCCTGCTCGTCTGGTCGGCCAGACCAATCTTGGTGGACATCCTCCGCAGTAAATTCTTCTTGGATCGCACGAATTCGCCCAGCAAATCGTCCACCGCGGCCGAGGGAGGAGCGAATTCCCGGAAAGAATCGCTGCTCTGGTCTAGGAAGTCTAGCATCTCCTTCTTTACCTCCGCCGCTAGTGCCACCAGCGACGATGGTCGGCGACCGAAAATCTCCCCCGACGCGCGCTCCAGCGTCGCCGCCGCCAGAGATCGCTGAAGAGACCTCTCGATCCGCTGTAGCTCGCGGACGTCCATGTAGCCACAGTCGAGGAGGAGAGGCGGCGCTTCCTCCATCGCGCCCAGCATTTCTTCCACTAAACCCTAAAATACATATTTATCTTTTAATTTTATATATTACACAATATTTTGAGAGTAAGCATTTTAATATTAATTTAAGTAAGTGCTTTTTCTTCTAGATTTCCTATCAAGTTTTAATGGGTGTCAACTAGTGATGTTCTACTTTCAATGTTCTATACTTTCCTAGATTTTGGTGTGTATGTCAAACTTTCATATTGCCCTCAGAACATCTTGAGGTAGCTAATCAGTGTTAAGTTTTAATCCTCCTTATAGAAATACTAAATTCTCTAGATTTATAGAAAGTCTTGTCTTAGCAAGATTGCCTACTTGACTTAAGATGACATGAACACTAGTGACCACAACTGCATCAGAAATCTCATTCTTTCCTCAATCCTCCTTTCAAAAGGTAAGAAAAGGAAAAACATTACTTGAGTTGCATCTAACAAATGATTTCTAGAAATGATGCTAATATACTGTTGCAGCCATCCATGGTCAAGATATGGAATGTCTAACTTCAACAGGAGTGCTTGCCAGCCCCAACACTCCAATGCAACTAGAAAGGACCATACTTACTGCTTGCCCTTGATGCTCACCAAGCTCGCTTTTGATAGAGCATGCTTCTATGCTCAATGTTAATATACCTGAAGCTTTCAGCAGTTCATATAAGTTCACCCCTAGAGCCTCATTGTATCCACTGTGCTGGCTGGAGAGATGGGCAATGTGAGCACCATGCTATGGTGCTTTATAGCCTCTTGAAACTTCCCATGTCTCTAGCAAGAAGCTACTTCAAGGTACACATGAAATTTTTCTTAATGACACTGAAAAGTGGCAAGGAGAAAATGAAGAGAGGTGGTGGAAGCTTACTGAGGACCTAAGCAGCTTTCTTCTACTCAACATGGACATTGAGTTCAGAGTTATCACCTCTCGGAACACATCAAAGGCAGCTTATGAGTTCTTCTTGCATGCTCTCTTGTGATCACAAAGCATTTAGTGTAACAAAACTGCTAAAAGAGAGAAAATCTAAGACATAAAGTGAGGTGTTAAACCATAAGATATAAAGCTTTTGCCAAAGCAATGCCGATAGATGAGATCTGTGAATCTTAAATTATCAGTTCTAAGAAGAATACTATGGACACCCTGTCCAAATAAACAGTAGAGCTTACATTCCCTGTTTGATTGATCAAAAACTTTGTGAAAGTCTAGTGAATTCGATCGCCATCACTCTTGTCCTTGAGGTACTTGAGAGAACTGCAGTGTTTGGGCCATTTACATCCAAGCATCATCAAAATTCTTGATAAAATATTCGAATTGGATCCAATTCTGAGTGAGATATCCCTCGTACCCTTTCAAAGAGTGGGAAGTGTGGCCCAAATCAAGATGAGACTATCTCTTGAAGATACTCTAAGCTGAGTGGCTCTTGCACAGCGAATTGGTTGCATGGGAATGCCAAAATCTCTAGCCTTGGTGAATGACGACTATAATTGAAGCTATAGTTTGGACGATCCCAGAGAAAGAAACAAAAGATCAAAAGAACCTTTGTCCACATATTTTACATGGAGCTCGTTGAACTCCTTGGACATGCTTGAAGCACATGGATCATATGAGAAATAATGCAATCAATTAAAAATAGGAGATTGACAATCAAGAGAACTTTGTTTTTGTATTTGCTCATGGAATCTTTCTGCCTATGTTTGTCCTATGATCACCTATCCATCAATCAAAAACAACAGAGAGTTGGATGGAGGAAGAATACCCTAATAATGGTCTCATAGAGTATAGTCCAGCTCCCTCATGTTCACGATCTTTTCGTTGCTTACCATAGCTTTCCTCAAACCCTAGTCAGAACTTTGTAAAAAGAATCAGAAAACTATACTTTTCCAAGCTTGTTAATGATTAATCCAATAAGAAAGTGTTGAAAAACCCAAACCATTATAAAGTGAAAAAGACTTGATAACACATGCTATTTCATTTTACAAATGCACCAACCATAAACTATGGACTATTATATAGCTATAACAAAACCAATATAGAAAAGTGAAATTTATTTTAACTTATAGCGTATGTGATCATGGGATAAGATTTAGATATATTGTCACCATGAATCTTTGAAACTCTGGAGGATAAATAGGGATAAAATAACCACTAAGGACTCTCTCATTAAACAATTGCCCCTTTTTCAATTGCTATTGTTACTACTAGTGTCTCCCACCATCACCACGACTACTTAGCCAAACAAAGAAGCTCCAAAAGGCCCAAGCTATCATAATATGATCCTAAGCACTTAATAGTTTTCATCTCCCTATTCATCACAATCTCCACCAATGCTTATGGATTCTTAGCCATCTCTAGCTGAAAGCCATCTTTGAACTCCCAACACTTCAGCCCTAATTAGACACCTCTAGCTTTGCCTTTTAGTTGTGTTTTAGGGCACCTCCACCTAGGCAAACCTATTTATCAATTAAATCTTGTTTGGAAAGCTTCCAAGGATATTGCTTCCCTACTTGAGCTCTTGCCTCTCCACCTATTCCAACTAGAGCCTCAACTATGTCTTTCAAGATTGAGCTACATATGTTGAGTTGTGGAGGCATATCCACTTCTGCTCATTAGCTATAGTGTAGGTGCTAGACTCATAGTTCTTGTCTCAGCATTATTCGGTAGACTTGTCATTGCTATTGCTTTCATCAGTCTAGGAGCTGGAGGCTTGCTGCAATTGAGGTCCTTGCAGCTCTATTTGGAGATTTTTAAGGTTTTTACAGCTCTCTATGCTTTATACTTGATTTACTTATTTATTTTAAAATTTATAGAAACTTTATAAATTATTAAGATCAATCTAATTGAATGAGGAGGTGTTTAAAAAATTTTAAATTTTTTTATAATTTATAAACATTATGAATATAGAAATAACCCTAGATTTATAGTAAGTGTAGAGAAAAGGTGGAATAAAAATTGAAGGCACCACCAATGGCATATAGTTATCAAAATCAGTTCTACAAAGTAAAAAGAAGTTGTTTTTAAGGTAATATTGAAAATGTAAATATCAAAATGCCAAGTCATCAACAAGTGATATAAAATTTTTAAACTCATTATGAAGCTTTCAAATTCACAACTCAACTTTTTAAGCTTCACAAACTTCATATAGAGAGGTATATTTAGCATTGTTCTTTATGGACACTGAATATTAACCATAATAATTGCTAAAGGTATAAAATCTTTATC